TGTGAAGGGATAAGAGATGTTTTTATTGATAAGTCAATGCAGGCGTGAAAGGGTTCCAAAATGTGGCAATTTCATATTAAATTTATATCATCAATGTCATGGCCACTAGAAAGAGTCTTATCCAGAATAACCAGGATGATAATGAAATAAGACAATGTAATGGTTGCAGTGAAAATCTCTTAATAATCAAAGAATTTCTAAATCGTTTCAATTCTTCCCTTGATTGCTCCTTCTATAAAATGGAAGTTTTATACATAATCAATAAAGTCCTTTCCAGCCTCCAAATATTCCTTGGGCAGTTCACTATAAGGGAGATAGCTCTGTTGGCTTTATCCTTAGCAACTTCCATGAATTTTTTGTGGATATGGAGAGCTTTTGGGTTTTCAGAAACCTAAAGTCATCTTTTTTTAAAGCCATAGATTGGCTGACATGTGGAAATGTGATTGAGAAAAGAGAGCAGACTGGTCTGCTTAAAACCCTGGCTCCGCCCTAAAAGGCAATATGACCAACTGGAGGACGGAAGACTGATGAGCACGAAATCTAAGCCCAGGCTGAGAGACATTTCTGATTGCCTCTGTCAGTTTGGTTCTCCCTTTGCTTTCATTCTAACACCTAGCTGCAATTCCTACTCCCCGTCCCACAGAGTTTTCATATCGATCCTTTTTTCTTTCTCCTGAATCAGGATTAACTTTCTGAAAGTTGAAAATCATAAAGCAAAAACTAATATGAAACAAGGAGGGACGAGGGAGCTGTATTCCCAGAACTGTAGAACTGAAAGGCACATTTTAATGCTCAACCCTCAAAAGAAAGGCTGGACTACTGACTCCTCAGAGGATTGACGGGTTTGAACCACATACATTAGCACTTGCCTCCTCAGGCCGATCTGTTTGTTGGTTGCTATATGGATGGTAATAAAATACCTAGTTGGGTGGGGCCAAAAATTGTATTACACTCTTAGAGCACATCTGTGAATACTGGCCTCCTGAACAAATGACCATAGTTCACTAGGCTTCTGTGCTGTCAGAGGCTGCTTCCCAAATCCCAACTTTGAACCTAGCTCTGCCATATGGACACAGGGGGTCAATGAAAAATAGTGTCCGAGGGGCCCCCAAGCATGAGAAGGTCTGGCAAAAAGTGACAGGTTTTATCCAGGCTGCTGAAGAGAAATGTACTGAGACTGGAAAGACTAAGGAGGTGCACGCCTTCGGAACGTGTCTGTGGATCAAAATACACCCTAAGAGATTCTTGAGAGAGCCCCTGGCGGCCATGTTAACCTTGGCATTGTTATCATTAAAAGGCTATGCTCATTTCTGGCACCTAACATCGGACACATTGACAGCAATGGGGTTGATGGAAGAGGAAAGAATCTGTTTTGCAGTAAAAAAAGATTTTTTAAAAAAAAGCAGTTCTCAGATTTCTCAGGCCATTTGATATCACGCCAGAGAAATACTTGATTTCAGCATTCTTAAGCTCTCTGCAATGATGCTGCAAGTGGTGTCCCCCACGTGTGATGATGTATTTCGGGGCCAGAGTTTTCTCAAGACGTTCCAAGCATGCAGGCTCCTGATCCTTTTTCAAATTACAAAGATGATAGTATCCCAGGGAGGGTTGTGATTAGTCTAAACTCTCCACAGCTGTGAGAGATGAATGCACAAATTCCAATAAAGATTCTGCATGTTCTGGACTGAATTTACCTACATGACATCGAGGCCTAACTGAGGGACCACTTAAAAGAACCGGAGCTGCCTCAGTGCTATTCTGTGTCTGCCACAGCATCAGCTGCTGGGGGGCTGGCAATTGTTCTGGAAGGATGCCTCCCCTCACACCACCATCACTGCCCAGCAGTGGATGTTCATTTTAGAAGGTCTGGGATGCGTGGGAGTAAAGCAGAGCTGAGAAAATTGAACCCAAGTACATGGGAATTTAAAGAGGCCTTGCAATTCATTATGTGAATAGCCAGGAGGATTATAAAACACCTTGTAACTGAAGGGGTTGGCCTGGAGCTGTGTGGGACAACAGAACCAGCTGTATCACCACCCCTAACTCATTTAGAATTGTGCTAGCAAGAAGGCAGGCTCAGAGCTTTCTGCAGTTACTTGGAAAAGCCAACAAGGCTTTATTTTCTTATTCTGGACACTTTTTCCTAAAATACTTCCTTAGAATACGAAGTAACATAATAATACACAGCATGCTCCTTTTACCATGTTTAATAATTGTCTCATCTGAAAACACTTGGCTATTCTCCTTTATGAAACATCTGACACTAGGCGTGCTTTCCAAAACTGTGAAAGACTTAGGGGGACAAGGAATTTACTACACTGTCTACACATATTCGCAACTATAGAGATAATAAATAAGATTCCTCACCTTGGAAAACAAAACAAAAATACCAAAGGAATATATAATAGTATTTTTTTAAATCTTCTAATGTGATCTGCAGGAATGCAGAATCTTCCAAAGCTATGTATACACAATCATGTACATCCACCTCCATTGTTTACAGTCCACTAAAGCACACCTGGCATCACCTCCTGACATCTAGAGATTTTTAATACTCCACTATCTATCATTTTACAGCTTATCACATAGCCACACACATATGTGATATGTGACATTTCTCCTTGTAGACACTGAACTTGTTTTCTCTCTCTAAGGCAAACCAGAAAGACACCACCACTAATGTCAAGAGGCCCAGTGAAGAGTTGAATGAGCTGTAAGCAAAATTCTCAAAGCACCAACCCCTGGATGATCTATCTATACATGGTATTTTATTAAAATGAGGATGGGAGTGGAAGAAGAAGGAGACAAGCTCCAATATTTTCTTATAACCATACAAACAAAACACACAACTACAAGCATTTCCACTTTTAACTTTTCAGTCCTTCATGCAAATCCTCCACATGCAAATAGATTCTCTCAACTACTAGCCATACCACCTCAGATTTCACCATTTCTAAAGAAAAATCAAATTATTAATTTAAGCCTGTTAAACTGGATGGTAACTATGCATTACTCCCCCTGGAACCCATGTTGCAAGGGCAACTTCAATATCAAATGGCTTATTCCTGTCTTTCTGCTGGAGGTCAGTTCAAAGTACAAATCACCCAGCAAGGCAAATTGGAAGGGAAAAAAAATAATAATATCTTTTTAAAATTGAGTAGGAAATCAGACAGTATGTCAGGATTCATATGGCTAAAACAAAGCTGCAGGCTAAAACAGAACAGCCCTACAGATAAGAAGAGTGTTGCCTTCCTGAGAATACTAAAGGTTGGTCTAATAGTAACATTAGTGGTTGCTGGTAGATGCTTGACAACCAGCTCATACGGAGAAAAAAACCATGTCTTGTAGCATTTGCAATGTCAACGGAGAAAAAAACCATGTTTTGTAGCATTTGCAATGTCCCTGGTGTAAAAACACCCAGCAAGGCTGATTTCACACTACCCAAGTGACATCCCTGAATGGGAAGTAAAGAAGAAATTCACAGTAACAACCCATTCTATAGTATTTCAGACACAATAGATATAACTAATCTCAGCACAAATTATAATAAAATGTGGGGAAATAACTAGACTATGGTGAATTTTGAGTATTACTTTTGTTTTTAATGTCATTAGTTTAATTGTAAGTTTATATAATTTAGTTTAATTAATGGTTGCATTTAACAATTGGCTTCCAAAATGCATAAAAATGTAAAGCTGGGCTCTAGTGAGCAGGTACCATTGGTTCCAGCACACCACTGCACTTTGCTCTTCAGGGACATTAGACATTTTGAACACACAACAAACCAAATAAACGAAGCTACTAAATCACTTGGATCAAACTATTTTCAGGGTTTCCAGGGCGGCCAACCTCTTCACTACCCCACTTTAGAAATACTCAAAGTTCAGGTTACACGGTTTGTAGTATTTACAGGAATATCATTAAATAACACCACCTTGCATTTGTATCACGCATTACACTTTTCAAAGTAGGAGTTTAGAGCACGATGGGACAGTCTGATCCTGCCTAGTCAATTTAAATCCGTGGGTAATAATAGCATTTTAGTGCCTTATCCATGAAAAGAGAGTCCTGGGAGCTGTTTGTCCAAAAGAGAGGCGGAGGGATGGAACTGAGAGCCAGGCAAAGAAGCCTAGAGCTGGCCAGACACCCCTACGTTCCAGATTCCCTCCTGGAAATGGCTCCATTACTGAGAAAGCAAGTGTGTGGTAGTACCAGGCTTGCCCCCCTCCCTCCTGTTTTCTGACTCTAACTAGAAATCTGACTAGAACTGCTTTTCCGGATAGAAAAGAAAAGGATTGGGTTGGACGGTATATGCTCAAAGAGTATCTGGAAAAGCTAAAATTATTAGAGCTGTAACATTCAAATATGCTCTTAACTGACCGAACAGCTTTAAAATGTTTTTCACCCCGTCAAAACATACCTGTTACGCCAGACACTTGTGTGAAGAGTCTACATAGATCTCACTGCCAAAATTAACAGCAACAGTAGTCGTGGCCGAGTGGTTAAGGCGATGGACTAGAAATCCATTGGGGTCTCCCCGCGCAGGTTCGAATCCTGCCGACTACGAGATCAGCTTTTGCAGCCGATACTTGCTTTCCTTTTGGAGAGTTCTCCCCAGCTTTTCCCACAGATTATTTAAAGAATTTATGACCGCTTGGACTACAACGGGGACCCCAAGGGAGCCATAAAAGGAGCGCATGAGGGAGCTACGGTGTCGTGTGATTGTGGTTACAACCTGGGCCCAGGAGGGGGAGATGGAACAAAACACGCCAATCTGGAAAGAAGAAAAGCAAAACGTCACGAGGTCACACAGAAATGGACAGCTCCGACCTCTGGCCCCGGGGATAGCCCAGCGCCACCAGAAGTCGCGGACCTACGGCGTCCTTTTGCTCGAGCGCGCTAACCCCGAAGCCTCGCGGACGCCTGGGCCGTCTTGAGACGGCGAACGCATGCGCGGGCGCGCCCGACGGGTCCTCGCGTTGCCCCTGGAAACCACCCGGCGCTGCCGCGACAGGAACGGGAGAAAGACGTAACGTTTCAAGATGGCGAAGGACTTGGACGAGCTCTTGGATGAGGTCGAGTCCAAATTTTGCAGACCCGACCCACCGAGACCGGGCATAGTGCAGCGGCCCAGAGGCTGCGGCGGCGGCATCCTCAGCAACGACCAGAACCGAGCCGAGGCGAAAGAGAATCTCAGGTTAACAGGCGGGAAGGGTGAGCTGTCCTGGTAAAGCCTGCTCCACGCCCTGAAGCCGCCCTCTGCCCACGATTTCCAGCTACTGTCCCTAATCGGGCCCAGATCCTCAGCTCCCCACCCCCGGGATGGCGCACACCTCAACTCCCTGTCCAGGAGGATTTGAGCATCTCTTACCAAGGCCCAATTCGGCAACCCGGGCAAGCCCCAGTGAGCTAGCCCCGCCCGTGAGAGCCCTCACCCAGACGGAGCCCCGGGGGACCTAATGGAGGTGGGGAGAGTGAGGTGTAGCTTAGGGGCCCTCCCCTGAGCCCCGAGAGGGCCTCTCTGACCAGCTCTGTCAGCCTGAGCGGTTCTCATCCCAGCCCCCCCACCCCCGTGAGGTGTTCGTTCCCACAGAGAACCTCAGCCTATCGCCTCTGACCCAGTTCCCCAGGCAGAATAATCCTTGGGCCGGTTGTTGGAGAAAACGATTCCGTTCTCTTCTGTGTCATCATTAGCTGCTGTGTTGTTGTTTTTTTTTTTTTTAACTCAGAGAATTGAATAAGATTACATTTACGATAAATGGTTAATTATTGTGAACACTGTATTAATCCAACCACCTACCTTCTCCCTGTGGCCCTCAGTTAAGGTCCCAGGGAATCTCAGGCATCCAAATTGAAATTTGAGATTTTTTAAGTATTCTGGTTTTTGATCCAAAAAAACTACCTCTCAAATTTGTTAATCTCTTTGATTCCGTATAATCATAAAAGGACTTCCTTTTTCCTCATTTTCTCCTCAGTCCCAAAAGGTCAAAATTGTTGCATCAGAATGAATATTGTCCTTCAAAGTGATGACTTGGGAGCCTCTGCAGTAACTCTGTTGGAAATGTTTGTGAAATTACACAAAGGCAGCTTTGGAACAACCCAAGAAAGTCATTCTTGTCAATTTATGCCTGCATCTGTGGTTTGGTATTGTTTGGTCTTGGTGTTCCTGGGCATGATTTCCCGGAAGTATTTACCCAACAACATTGGTACCCAGTTTATCAGACTTAATCTCTAATGGCATCTGTTTATAAAAATTAACCCTTGGAAGATAAAAACATTGAGAAGATTCGGAAGTTCAGAAACAGAAGTTCTAAAAATTAGTTGAGTACTGGGCAGCATTCTAAAAATCAAGTGTAGAGCCAACTAAAATGACTACTTTGAAGGGCTAATGCTTTCTTGACTGAATGTTTATGCAAATATCACTCTCATTAATTTGTATGTTATTGGCTTGTATGCTGGAGGTCCTTATGTACTCATTCCCAATACATCCACTGTCCCCATCCCACAGCAGTGTTACTTTGCAATTTCTTTTGTTCTTTTTATTCATTACTTTCGGGATGGAGAGAATTTATCAAAGAGCCTTCCAAAGCCTGTTCATCTTAGGAGAACTAGTGTGCAGAGGGATAGGATGTCTTGGAGCAGGCTGCTCAAAATGGAAAGGGCTGCTAAGGTGGATCCTTTTCAAGAACAGGTCCTTTTATGCCTCTCTTCATAGCCAGTTATTGCACTACTGAAATCCATCCATAATGTTTCTGGCATCTCACCCCACCTTACTACATGAGATTTTTCAGTAATACATTTATAAAAGCTGTAGCAAACCAGTATGTTATTATTCATGTGTTAAAACTTTTCATTTGGTAATGTAGTTGTAAATTATGCAAAAAAACAGCAGCAAGGGCCCTAAACCTAATACCCAAATACAATCCCTATGTATAATGTCAAATATAAAAATTTTATCATGAGCCAAAATTGATACTTAAAAATTAGGAACGGATTTATATTATGAATTTATTAACAGGAGACTATCTGCCAATTGTATAGCAATGCAGCTGTTATCTCTTTCCCTTATAAGAGTTAAAATACTGAAGTTGTTTATTAAATGATAGGTCTGCAAATAATAAAATAAATGACCATGCAACATCTGGATACCAGGAACGACTGCTAATGTAAGAGATCAAAATATATACAAGTTGTTGAAGTGTTCAAAATGATAAAGAGAAGTACATGATTAGTTTAAAAAAATGCTGTGAGTTGAACTGCAATGCGACTAAAGTGGTTCAGGATGATACAGATGGGAATATTTAGAGATAATATCATAACCTCCTAGATAATAGTTATAATAATAGCCAACATTTATTGAGTCCTTTCTATATGCTAAGTGCTTTGTATGTGTTATTTCATTTACTCTCCCCAACCCTATGACGTGAATCATATTATCCGCCTTTCACTGACCAAACTAAGACTTAGTAAAAGGGTTGCTTGCCCAAGGTCATATTTCTAAGTCTACCAGGATATTGTAGATCTAGATTTAAGCTTTTATATATACCTTTCACATTTAATTGCAGGTTTCAACTGTTTAATTTTTTTTTGTTTAGAGTATACCTTTTATTTTTGACAAAAACTATATTTTTAATCAAGATTACAATAAAAGAAGCGAAGTTGAAGGAGAAACCAATAAATGTTTATTAACCTTTGGTAAAGGTTACTGTATTATAAGGACACCTGGCTGGCTTAGTTGGAAAAGCATGCTACTCTTGATCTCGAGGTCGTGAGTTTGAGCCCCATGTTTGGTGTAGAGATTACTAAAAAAATAAACTTTAAAAAAAGATTACTGTATTATAGCATCAAAAGATTAAAAGAGGGATGCCTGGGTGGTTCAGTCATTAAGCATCTGCCTTTGGCTCAGGTCATGATCCCAGGATCCTGGGATCGAGCCCGCATCAGGCCCTCTGCTTAGTGGGAAGCCTGCTTCTCCATCTCCTACTCCCCCGGCTTGTGTTCCCTCTCTTGCTGTCTCTCTCTCTCAGATAAATAAATAAAATCTTTTTTAAAAAGGATTAAAATAAAGTATTATACAGTCCTTGAAAATTTGTATGCAGGGGGCACCTGGGTGGCTCAGTCGTTAAGCATCTGCCTTCGGCTCAGGTCATGATCCCAGGGTCCTGGGATCGAGCCCACATCAGGCTCTCTGCTTAGCGGGAAGCCTGCTTCTCCCTCTCCCACTCCCCTTGCTTGTGTTCCCCTCTCACTATGTACCTCTCTGTCAAATAAATAAAATCTTGAAAAAATAAAATAAAATAATATTTGTATGCGGTCTCATTGAAATGATGGCATTTCTACAATAAAGCATAGGCAGTTGTATGCATCATGAAATTGTGTAACAGACCAGAATCTTAATAAGTTTGGATCCCTAATAGTATTTATTGGTTTGATAAAGTTTGAGTGTATCTGATTCTTGAAATTGTGAAACTGCGTGAGGGACTAGAACCCAAACAGTATGTTGTGAAAACTAAAGGAGGGGAGAATTTCAAGAGGACAACTTAGCAACCTGCTGTCATAAAAGAAATTGGAGGAATTGGTACCTAACAGTGTCAGGTATTTCTGAAAGATTAAAGAGGATTGGAACTGAAAAGGGCCATTGAATTGAGTGATGTGGGCAGTATTAAACCTTTGAGAGAAGAGTTTTACTGTAGTTGAGGGATATAGAGGCCAGAGATAGAATATTACACCTGGAAGAAGTTAAAAATAGTTGTCTAGGTCCCCTTTTTACATTTAAAATACCTGAGGTTGAGAGAGATTAAAGAGTTTAAAGTAGGTCAGTAGTTCTCAACCAGTGAGGATTTTACCACTCAAGGGGCATTTGGCAATGTCTTGGCATTTTTAATTGTCACAACCGGGGAAGGGTATGCATGCATGCTACTGGCATCTAGTGGGTAGAAGTTAGGGATACTGGAAAACATCGTACAATGCACAACAGCCCTACTTCTTTCCACCATACACACACCAAAGAATGATGTGGCCCCAAATGTAAGTAGTGGTTGAGAAACCCTCATCCAGATCACCATCCAATACACTTGTAAGGAAGTAGATCGACTTCAGTAGTGAGTAAGAGGGGGCAGCTCACTAGAGTTTTTTGGAGTGTTTCCTTGAAGAGTAAGTCTTGTGCATACTTGAAAGTCAAGAGAACAAGCCAGTACTGGGTGGAAGACTTTAAGGATAAACGTTAGAGTGGGAGCAACTGAAGAGGCAAAGCCTGGAGGTAGATGGAATCAGACATTTGGTATTAAGCAGCACTGTCTGGTTTTTCTTATATTGGGTTAATTACTCCAAGCAGTAACAGAGAAGGAGTATAATCCTAAAGAATTTTCAGAGTAAATACATTTCTAAAGTTAGAATCTGACTAAAAAACTTATCTTCTAAAACAAATATTTTAATGGTCTAATGAAGTTATAAAGTTGCTGTGAATCATCTGTAACATATAAACTCTAAAAAGAGTTCATCTTGTTTAGTGTTAGGTGTCTGGACTGCCCTAGATTCAATTCCAAGCCTCTCCTCCCACTAGTTGTATGACCTTGGGCAAGTTTCTGAATCTCTCAGTCCCTGCTTCTTCATCTATATTGTAAGTATTCAGTAAATGTTAGCTATTAAATAGAGGTTTTGTGGAGTAACAGTTTGTATCAATAATTCCGTGATGGCTTTCCCTGCACAAAATAGAAAGGTAGTTGAGATACTCTGCCAGGTGAATATTGCTCTTTTTTTTTTATATTGATCATTTGATTATATAACCTCCAGCTCCTGTAGTAAAGATACAATTATTTGACTTACAGTGGAACTGTTAGGGAGAAAATTAGAAAAGACTCATGAAAATTATATTTGTTTATAATTCTCAGGTTCTACTTATAATGGTACATATTTTTGTGTTCTTTAAATAAGTCCATAATTTAGAAAGCGCATGCCCAGCTTTCTCTTGAATATAACGTATAGCTTTAAATGTCTTTTTTTTTTTAAGATTTTATTTATTTATTTGACAGAGAGAGACAGCTAGAGAGGGAATACAAGCAGGGGGAGCGGGAGAGGGAGAAGCAGGCTCCTGGCTGGGCAGGGGGCCGGATGTGAGGCTCAGTCCCAGGACCCTGGGATCTTGACCTGAGCCGAAGGCAGACACTTAAAGACTGAGCCACCCAGGTGCCCCCTTAAATGTCTTATTTTAAGTGTGAAATAGTAACATACATATGTGAATTTGTACCTGATAAACTACATCTTTGTCTCAACAGTCTTCAACTATGTCCATAGAGGGAAAAAAATTAACATCACATTTATCCTTCTGTTATCAACTGTAATAATAGACTATTTAAGCAAAATTCTGATACTGACTTTATTTGTACTTAAGCAGCTGTTTTGTTTTCAGATCAGAAACATTTGAGAAAGAAGATGATCTTGACAGTCTTATTAATGAAATATTTGAAGAACCCAACTTTGACAAAAAACCTTTTGTAAGTTAAGTATTATGAATGTGCAGTAATTCTTTCATTATTTCAAAACAAGTTTAAAATAGTCTGAAAATGTATAGAATACACAAGTATCTAGTCCTTTGAATTCTGAAAAATACAATTGTTTTAAGGGAATTATTCCACTTAAGAGTTACAGAAGAAATAAAATATTAAAAACTCTCATGTGTTTTGCTGTTCGTTTCTTAGCAAGAATGAAAAATTAGAAAAGCTGTTAGAGCAGAAGTCAGCTCACAGATGAAGTTGGTTATTTTATTTGTATATTCTAAGAACACTTTTCTAAAAGACCAAAAACAGCTTTTATTATAGGAATGTGCTTGATATCTCAGATGCAATGCCATTGCTGTTACCCATGAACCAGTGAGTAAATTGTTAGTATTTTAATGTTTAAATGCTTTTGTATCTATCAACTTTATAAAAAGCTCATAAAACAGTGTAACAGCCAACTGTATATTTACTGGCCATAGTGAACATATCTTAATGTTTTGTCATACTTGCTTCTCTGGATTTTTCTTTTAAAGAAATAGAAATTATAGCTATAGTTTCAGAACTCTCCAAATCCTACTCTACTGCCTTCATTCACAGAGGTCACCTGTCCTTTCCATCCATACTTTTATATTTTAATTATACTTGTACAATCATAAACCATTTTAACTGACAATAGCCCATTATGTGACTTGCCCCAGTTTATCCACTTCCCTGGTAATAAACATTTAGATTGTACCCAGTTGTTGCTTTTTATTTTTTTTTTAAGATTTTATTTATTTATTTGACAGAGAGAGAGCACAAACAAGGAGAGTGGCAGGCAGAGGGAGAGGGAGAAGCAGACTCCCCACAGAGCAAGGGAGGCCCCGATGCGGGACTCGATGCGGGACTCGATCCGAGGACCCCGGGATCATGACCTGAGCAAAAGGCAGTCGCTTAACCAACTGAACCACCTAGATGCCCCCTAGTTGTTGCTTTTAAAAACTGTTTCATCGGATATTTTCATGTCTTCTTTTACCTACATAGAGGAGTTTCTCTAGGATGTGCAAACCTAGGGGAAGAATTGCTAGGTCATTAAGTGTGGTTTATCTTCCACTTTTCTACCCATTGCCAGAATGTTTTCCAGAGTGACTATATCATTTCTATTCTTCGCACCATCAGTAGATGAAAATCTGTATACTTTAATTTTTACCAGTGTGGTGCGTGTAAAATATACTTGTGAGATTTAAGAAGAGACCGAATGGAAGTCTATATTACAGAGACCACAAAGAAGAAAAAAAATCTAAGAATAAATATAATACCAAAGAGGTTTTTTTTAAAGGAGGAAGATTAAAGCTAGAAAGACTAAAAATCACTAGGCAGTGGTGGTGGTAAGGATATGGATATGAGCCACTTTTATTTTCGTCAGCCAGACTAAAAATCAAATGACTGACACAGAGCTTAAGGTCTTTATTTCTCTAAATTTAACATTTTCAGTTCATAAGCAGATAGTAAATTAGTAAGCTGATGGCCTAGTTGATTAACACAACAGTAATAATAGTGTTGAATACTCTGCAAACAAGAATGCATCATAAATGCTAAATAGCAATGCTAATTTAGTTAATAGAGACGACTACATGATCTTGTTATTCATGGATCATCGGAACAATTTGTTATTAAGTACTACAGGGTGTGTATCTATATGTGAGGCACTATCTCTTTAGTTCAAGACATTTCAGAAGGAGAAGGAAATATTTCTCTGCTTTAGCTTTAACATACACTAGTTTGAAATAAGAATAACTCCTACAATCATGAAGAGGTAAACGTCTATGTACTTCTGTATGCTCCCTTTTTTTAGTTACTATATCCATTCTCCAGACTGCAAGGGAAAAAACAACCTAAATAAATTTCTGGAGAAGAGCAGGTCTGTTTCAAACATGGATTGGGTGAGGAAAAGAGATGTCTGTGAAGAGGTGTGCATGCCCACCTTGTCCAGACCAGATTATGCTCTTGAGAGTACTGCTTCCTCCCCCATCGCTCACACATTCATTCTGTTGAGTTTCTGAACTGCTCTCAGACCCACACAAGAAAGCCCAAGAATGACAACAAATGCCACAGTGTGCCAGCTTCAAGCCATAAGTGGATGGTACATGAACTACTTTTCTCAAAAAAAAGATGCACGTTATTTTTTCAGACATGCACCAAAAATTTTTCCAGTTCTGTTTAACATCAAGTAAGAAAGTTAAGAGAAATTGTAAAATGAAATATTTTTGCCTCCATTAAATTTCCTCACCTACAAGGTAAAATGAAGGCATGTCTCTGCATAGTTTAAATTGCCTTTTCTCCAACTTCCTTTCCTTGGCGGTGGTCCTAGTATGTGGTTGGTTTATACTGTTTGGTACCATATACCAGTTAACACTTAATAAATGCTTACTAATGATGATGATGTTATGTAACCATGTAGGAACTACTGTGTAGTCGTGACTGGGTAGTTCAATTTCCTTGAATGTCTATTGGTTGATACCATTTTATTTGATCAAAATTAATATTCCTGAAGTTACCCAGGAGTTTGGTTAGTTTATTTTTAGTTCAGGTGAGTACCATTCACAGCCTTTAAAAATGAGTCTGAGATTTTTTTCCTCAATTGAATTTTTCCAGGATGAAGTTTTAAATAGCAGATCCTTCATATTAAATCACTGAACGTGGTATTAACTGAAGAGTTATAAAGTGACTCTAAATCTTAGCATGCTAATAATGGCAGTATATCAGTTTCCTAGACTAAAAGTTAGCCAACTAATTTACTAATTCCTCAGGGAGGTCTACTTCCCTTTTGCCTTTAAAAGGTTTTGATCATTGTTTTTATTTCAGAAACTTGAAAATGATACAGAATTTTTATTTAAGTCATTTAAAAAATACTCTTGTTATAAAATAAAGAATATTAGTTTTTATGTTAGAATTCTCTAAGTTACCCTTGGCCTTTTATTGTTTTATTTTTTTTAACAGAAATTAAAATCTAAATCTTCAGGTAACACATCTGTCAAAGCTTCCATTCAAGGCCTTGGTAAAAGGTAAGTTGAGATGGCTTTAGTGAATTACACACACTAGTGAGCAAACACCATGAGCAAAGCCTTATAGATTTTGTTACCATTTAAACAACAGTGACATTGAAAAACAGCACTGGTTGGCTTTCAGGAGAAAGACCAATAGCAATATCTTCAGTGTTCTTGTGGTCTGTGACCCCTTGGTGTAAAAGAACTTGAAGATTATTGCTATTGTAAATAATTTTCTGCTGCATGAAAAAAAAATAAGTGTGAACAGTTTCTCAAAATTAATGTTCTGTTATATTCTTCAGTGTTTACTTTGTCCCTTATATTATTTGGCAAATGCATTTTTTTGGTGACTCATTTTAACTCCTTGAGTGTTCCTGAATGTATAGGTTATATCCAATAATGCAGGGATCTTGGAATAAATGCCTCTTCTCTGAAATAATTGGCCTGCTCAGGAAAATATACAATTTGATTACAAGAATATAGAGTCAATGAGGCCAAATTAACTTCTCATATTTTTCTGTTGTTGTAATTTTTTTCTTCCATCTATCGAACCTGTCTAGTTGCAGCCCAGTGTACCTCGGTGGAAGCACTGCTCCGTGTGGAATTGGAACAAGTACTTCACAGAGGTAGGATGTCAGAAATAGATTTTCTTGAGGCGCCTGGCCAGCTCAATCGGTTAAGTGTCCAACTTGATTTTCAGCTCAGGTCATGATCTCAGGGTTGTGAGATCTGAGCCCCATGGCAGGCTCCACTCTCAGCAGGGAGTCTGCTTGGGATTCTCTTTCTCCTCTCCCTCTGCCCCTCCCCCTGCTTGTGCGTGTGTGCATACACTCTCTTTCTCTCTCAATTAAATAAATCTTTTTAAAAAAAATAGATTATCTTTCTTATTAGGTTTTTTGCAGTTGATACCCTGTTGTTAAAATGTAGTTCTTGGCATCCATCTATGTCAAAATCAGAGGTGTATTTTATTAGCCAGTCTAAGAACACTGTACTGAAATGTTTGTTATTCTGGGCAATAGCTTTTGAAAGCTGTGATATTGGGTATGTGGTGTTCATTGTGTTGATGCCCATTTCTAAGCCGCACTTGAAATGCCTGGGTTACTCCAGTGCCAGCCTGCTTTCCACAGGACGCCAAGAGGGTGAGCTTCTGCCTTGCCATTTTTGCCTTCTGGGCAGTAGAAGCCAGTGGAGAAGACAGGCGAAGCAATGTGGCCATGCAGACACGTGATGCGTTACCCACCATCTTGGCCAGCATGAGAAATCTGGGTCTTCAGTACCCAAAAAGTTCTCAAGCATAGTCGCTTGATTTTACGTATTTAAAATGCAGAAATCCTCCTTTCTTTGTCCCTTCCCCATCTCTTACACTCACTGTCTAACTCATCACCCCTTTCAGGGCAGTCTTGTGGTCACGATACCACCTACTCCATACTGCTAGCATATTCCATTATCATTGTCATAATGTGGGGAAATAGATTGGTTTTAAGCATGTCTTTCTGTTGTCCTGATACTGTTGATTCTATTTTTGCAGAGGCCTATTTGCCTAGATTATTATATTTTGTCTAGTTATTTCTAAAGTACTTTTTTATTTTGTTAATTTTTTAAGAAAGCGAAGAATGAGATACATGATTGCATGTTGACCATGTTTTAGGAGGAATAACGGTTCTATTGAATAATAGAAGTAGGATCTAAAAAGACACTGTTGGAGGGTTGTGGTGGTGCTGGCCCAGATCCTAGGATGCCTAGGAAGAAAGGCCATGGGACCAAAGGAAAGTTGAGAGTCTGGGGAAGCCTGTATCGGGAACACCGGACAGCGGACAGGCTAACAGAAGCCCACTGGCGTGCTGCCTCCTGTAAGGGCTGTAAGTAACAATTGACGGCCCTAGCATCCTTGTGTGTTGAGGGCTAGCTATACAAAGAATCAGAGGCACAAACTGGCCCTTAGAGAAGAGTATAGTCAGGTTGCTGTCAATCCTGACTTACCTGGGTAGAGTCACTGGGACTCGTCTCCATGTTTCCAGACCATGCCCCCTCCAATCCCAGGTTCTTTCCAATCACCTAGGAACTACGCCAGTTTCCCTGTTACCATCCACTTCCTTCTCTCGCTTCACCCACATACAGCATGAAGGATAATATCCCTAACTTATTCTTCTGAGCACCCTCCCCTGTTCAGAGGGAAAATGAGAGTTGCTATTTGTCTCACATTAACTCTAGGGTTATTTGCTTTACCAAATTGTGTTCTTTCTCTTCTTGGTCCCTTCACCTCCAGTGAGAACCCAGGTCAGATAGTTCACTTCCAGCTAGAACATTTGTTATCCTCTACTTTCCACTTAACATCTTTCTGCTTCTGAGTATTTTTACATTTATTCCCTGTCTGGAATGACCCTCCTCTCTAATGTGTGTCCTTACTGTCTTATCTGCTTATCTACAAATTTATTTTGTCATTCTGTTTGAGCTTCTTTTTTCTTTTCTTTTTATAATATTCATTGAATGTCCAGCATGTCCTAGGCCCTGCGCTAAATACTAGATACCAAAAATAAATAAATAAATGAATAAATAAAACCCTAGCCAGGAGAGGAAGTGGTAAAGAGGTGAAAGATGACACCCTAGAGCATGAACAGAAAGAGTTCTGATGGCAGAATGCCTGAGTTCAGATCTTTCATTGTGCCCCTTATGAGGAGATGTGAAGCCTTTAGAGAAGGGATGTATCTTCTGAAACTGGTTTCCTCACCCGTAAAAACTGAACACACTCCACGGAGATACTGGGAGGATTAAATGGAATAATACATTATAGTATTCCTGTGGCGCAAAAGACAGCGAACATAGTTTGAGTAATAGTTTGCAGTTATTCGTGTGTCTTTTCTCATCTGTCAGTGCTGCCTTCTCATTGTGTTCTCTTTCAGTGCCCGGAATCCTATATTCTCCTACTACTTTTCCATTTTATCTCAGGAAATATGTATCCGTGTTTACTTACACGGGTCTTCTAATTTTTAAAATGGTCTCAGGGCGCCTGGGTGGCTCAGTCAGTTAAGCATCCGACTCTTGATTTCTGCTTAGGTCATGATCTCAGGGTCGTGAGATTGAGCCCTGCATTGGGCTCCATGCTGGGCCAAGGAGCCTGCTTAAGATCTCTCCCTCTCCCTCTGCCCCCACCTTACATGCGCTCACTCTCTCTCAGTCTCTCTCTCAAAAAATAAAAATATAAATAAATAAAAATGGTCTCTAAGATGATCCATTCTGGTTTACTTTCAAAGAGTAAATATTTCATGAGGATTTTCCTTTATATAGTATTTTTACATGTACTTTGATTTGGTTCTAGCACAGAAGAATCTTGGTCCAGATGGAATTTAAGTGGACAAAAGAATGGCCTGTTTTTATTTTTTTTACTTTTTTTAAAGATTTTATTTATTCATCGGAGACAGAGAGAGAGGCAGAGGGAGAAGCAGGCTCCCCACTGAGCAGGGAGCCCGACGCAGGACTCGATCCCAGGACCCTGGGATCATGACCTGAGCCGAAGGCAGACACTTAACCATCTGAGCCACCCAGGCGCCCAAAAATGACCTATTTTTATAGCTTGAGGATCCTTTCACACAATATTGATCCATGAGCATGCCAGTATCCATCAAACTCCTTCCTACTTTCTGCACAGCTACAAGACGAAAAAACACATACTGTTTGCATATATACGCATAGGTAAATGTGTATATTCACGGGTCTTTTCTTCCACCCCATTACAAAAATACCCTTATGGACCAACCTCTTCCTAACACAGATCTGCACCCACAGAAAGATAAGCTTATACTTGTTCACGTGCACGTAAAACATTTTATGTGTGAAGTACTTTATACTGTCCAGAGCACTTTTTTATATATGCTTATCAGTTTAGCTCCACAGGAAAAAAAAAAAAAAACAAGATGCAAATAGAGCAAGACTTTTTTTTTTTAAGATTTTATTTATTTATTTGATAGAGAGACACAGCGAGAGAGGGAACACAAGCAGGGGGTGTGGGAGAGGGAAAAGCAGGCCTCCCACTGAGCAGGGAGCCCGATGCGGGCCTCGATCCCAGGACCCTGGGATCATGACCTGAGCCGAAGGCAGACACTTAACAACTGAGCCACACAGGTGCCCCTTGGAGCAAGACTTTTTAACCCCATTTTATAAATGAGGAAATTGAGACACTGGTGTTAAATTCACTGAACACATATTAATTAACCACCTGCTTGCTAGGTCCTACATAATACATAATGTGAAGGGAAAGTGCAGGGTATGATAAGCATAGATAACTAGCACCCCAGCTAATATGAAGGGCTAGAGAATGCTTTCCTAAGCAAATAACATTTAATCAGATTACAGTATGAAAAATGAGTTAGCAAAGAGAGGAGACCATTAGAGCCAGAGGGCACACAGTGTTAGATGATCCCTGAGCTGGAGTAGCAGAGGGCAGGCAGATGAGCTGCAACATAGTGAGTGGGGGAAAGAATGGCTCTTGATGGGGCTGGAGAGGTAGTCGAGGCACATTTGGTTTGAGGTCCTGTAATCCTCTGGAAGATTTTAGGAAAAGTGTGTCATATGCAGTGGAAGTCTTTAGTTGTTTTGGGGGGTTTTTTGGTTTTTGTTTTTCGCAGATGGGGTGACAATCGTATTTGTGTTTCTAAAGAAAGTCATTTTGGCTGCTGAATGGAAAATGGCTTGGAAGTTGGAGGGGCAAGACGGGAGAGGACACAGGGAGAACAGTCAGCAGATAGTAGTTACAGTGCTCCAGGAAAGAGACGGGGATGGTAGCTGTGACCTGAGTAGTGACAGTAGCTGTAGGGAAAAGGTGTCATATTTGTGCCATTTAGAATCTAGAATTGACAGAACTCAGTGTTTAAATGGCTATGGGAAGTAAACGAGAATGTTCTCAAGAATGACTTCCAAGTAATGTGCCTTGCCAAGATCACATAAGTTATTACAAACCAAGGACTCAAATATGTCCTTGTTCCTGGTCCATTGTCCTTTCTAGTATACTAGTTTACAGAAGGCCATGTAATGTATGCAAGAGGGAAGAAATTTAGCTGTTTTTGCTATTGTGGTTACTGTTATTTTCCAACTGTCCAAACAGCAAGGCTTCCTAGGCCACTGTGTAGATCTGTGTAGATTTAACTGAGAACCAGAGTCTGGGCAGAAGACTGTATTGGGCTGTATTTTGGGCATTCCCATCAGGAACACCTTAAAAATAGTAAAAAGTTGTCATGTATTAGCTGGACAAAAGGACAGAGCTGTTGGTGACACCTTTATATTTGTATTCCCTCCACATTTTGGAAGAAGAATCCTGACAATTTATCTTTCATTAGAATCATGCCTTTTTTTAGACATCCTCTTGTATGTGTATATTGTTATGGAAGAGAAATATATTTAAGCCCTGAAAATAAGCACTAATTTACATGCCCAGGCCATAAAGGAAATTGAGTCTCTTCTGCCTGTTTTCCATGTGTTTTATTTGTTTGATTTCTAGATAAAGCTCTGGTTTGGGAGTACTGCTGAATGATTTTAGAGTGTAAAGATTTGAGTCTTTTACCCAGTTGGTGGAAAGGAGAAAGAGTAGTAGCAGGAAGCATGGTGGCATTAATAAGGTATAGATAAAATCAAGGCATTATTTTCAAGCCAAATCAAATTTTACTCTCCTCTTTTTTTAAACTACTTCTAAGACTGGATTATTCCATAGACTGCTACTAATTATGATCCAATAGAGTGAATCGTAGCAGCAGAATGATTTCTTAGCTGCAAGTTAGTTTTATTTTTCTCACAGGGCAGTGTTTGTAGGAAAATGTGGTAGTGTGAATAGATTTGAATAAACTACTAAATTTTAAATTAAATTAAAAAGCTGTATTTAACATTACGGTTGAGATTTTACACATACACAACGTCAGGAAATTCTAAATTATAGTTCCCACAACAGCAGTAATTTAGCCAAATTGCACATATGTATTAAGGCATTAAAGTTAACACTCTGTGCAATCATGTAATAAACTACATATGCATAAGAAAGCAAGTTATGGCAGCTTTGGGAACCATCATTTTGCATTTCCTGACTTATACATTCAAAATTCAAATTCAAATGTATACAAATGTAATCGTGTTGAATTGCCATATGTACAAATACAACTCTATAAATTGCTAACAGTTTGAAAGAAAATATGGAATTGTTTATGAAACTGATATAGATTTTGAGTGCTTAGTTATTTTTATGATTAATAATAATCTTTAAAATAAAAAGCATTTATTTTCAAAGAAATTTTCAGGCCAAAAAATATTTGCAATTTTGAAGTTACCATATCTGAATTTTAGAGGGGAATACGTGGAAAAAAAATCTAATGATGGGGTTTTTTAATTATTTTTTATTGCAGAAGTATTGAATGCTTATTTTAAAAATAAAACAGTTTAAAAATGTATAAGGAAAAAGATAATAATCTTCTCTCTCCTCCATTCCCACTACCCCTGAGGCAGCCAGTGTTAACACTATAGTATATAACCTTCCACATTTTTCCCCATGTTCTTACAAACTTACAAACATCTATACAGGAAATTTTTTTGGTTGTTTTTAACAAAAATAGGCTCCTACTATATATGTTAACTGTGTACCTTGCTTTGGACATCCCTCTAGGTCAGTAGATAAATCTAATTCTCTTTATTGACTACCTAATATTCCATATATATTGCATATTATTCAGTCTTTTCCCTTTATAGTAGGTATCCAAGTGGTATCCTGGTTTTTGCCACTTTAGCAATTCTGCAGTACAGTAAAAATTCTTGAGATAAATGGCTTGTAGACTGATGTTTTTGTTTTTTTTTTAAGATTTTATTTATTTATTCATGCGAGACACAGAGAGAGAGAGAGAGACAGAAGGAAAAGCAGGCTCCCAAGGAGCAGGGAGCCCGATGTACGACTCAATCCCAGGACCCTGGGATCGTGACCTGAGCCGAAGGCAGACGCTTAACCATCTGAGCCACCTAGGCGCCCTGATGTTTTCATTTATATGTAATTGGTTCCCAAAAATGGGGTTGCTAGAGCAACAGCTAAGGATAATTTTAATTTTAAAATAGTGCTAAGGTTTTTCCCAAAAGGTTATAGGAATTCACATACCCACCAGGAATGTCTGAGAGTGCTAATTTTTGCTAACTTAATTGGTTAAAACATTTATTTTGTGATTGCTTTAAATTTAATTATGTTTTATTTTAACTAACAAACCCTGTGCCAGGCACTGTTACAAGCACTTTATCAATGTTAACTTATTAGTTCTGCCTAACAGTTCTATGAGGTGTATAAGTATTATTGTTACCCATTTTACAGATGGGGAAATTGAGTCACAGCAAAGTTATTTGACTGTAGTTACACAGCTGGTAAATAGTGGAATACATTTGAACCTAGGCAACCTGTCTCCACAGTATGTGCTCTTACTATTCTGTGATGCCTGTATTAGAGAGATCTAATATATTTTTAAGTTTTGTTGTTATTTGTAAGCACTCCTTGTATAGTGTAAGTATTTGACGTGTGTTGAAAACATTTTCTTCCACTCTATCACTGACTGATCATTTCTCTTTATTTTTGGTATCTTAAAATCTCTTACGGGGGCGGCTGGGTGGCTCAATTAAGCCTCTGACTCTTCGTTTCAGCTCAGGTCATGATTTCATGGTTTGTGAAATTGAGCCCCACATCAGGCTCTGCGCTCAGTGGGGGGTCTGCCTGAAGGTTTTCTGCCCCTGCTACCCCTACATGTGCGCGTGCGCAGGTGCACACTCTCTCTAAAATAAATCTTTTTAAAAAAAATCCCTTCTTCCTTTTAATTTTTAGATAGTCAAATGTATATCTATATTGATTCTAGTTTTTAAATACTTCAGACAATGGAAGAAGTTTCTTCTTTTTAATGTAAATCACAATTATTATATAAATCAAATTGTTTGCAACAGCAGTTCATAAGTATTTCTATATATTGTTATTTTACTCCTAAATTTACTATGTAGCATATGAGTTTTGAGAATTGCATGGCATTTCATTTCCTCACATATTCAGTAAGGACCTGTTACGTGCTAAGTGTCATTCCAGTACTTCTACCCCTTTCTCCTGTATCATCAGTGTTTTGGTTTTCACTGCAACTTTGCCATCAACATAAAAATATGCTTTTTTTTCCCTCCCTTCTTAAATATAATCTCTTAACCCCTGTTCTTAACCACCTCTCACTCCATTTAAAGAACCTGCTCAGAGGTATGTACCTTCTCAGTGAGGCCTGTGCAGACTACTCTACCTAACGAATTGCAATCCACTCTTTCCCGATACTCCCAATTTTATTTACCCTACTTATCATTTCGAAAATTGGAAGCACTTTTCACCTTCTTTTTTTTAAAGATTTTATTCATTTATTTGAGAGAGAGAGAGTGAGCACAAGGAGGGGGAGCAGCAGGCCGAGGGAGAGTAAGAAGCAGGCTCCCTGCTGAGCAGGGAGCCCCATGTGGGACTCGATCCCAGGACCCTGGGATCATGACCTGAGCCAAAGGCAGACGCTTAACCGACTGAGCCACCCAGGTGCCCCACTTTTCACCTTCTAACAAACTATATAATTTAGTTATATTATGAGGATTATTTCTTCTCATTAGAATACAAGCTCCGTGAGGACAGAAACTCACCAGCACATAGTATGCTTTCAGGAAATATCTTTTAAGTGAGTGAATGAATGCGTTAATGCCGTATACTGGGGAAGCAGAAGCAAATAAGATACTGTCCCAATATTTAAGTAGCTTATGCAGAAAGTTTGATTTCCATATGATGTGGCAAATTTTGTGATAGAGGCACCCCTGAAATTTTCAATAGGAAGGGAAGCAACTTAAAGAAGTTATGTTAAGTGAAGATCTCCCTCAGACTCAATTTGAAAACCATTGAACTAAAAGATCTGCCCATCCCTTTGTTTTATATCTATACGATATGCATGTGTGCATATGTGTATATATACATATCAGTGTGTAAAATAGGAAGCTTTATACAAAAACTTAACCTGGAAGTTTGTGCAGAAATTTAACCTGAAAATTTTTACCTAAAGATATATAATCCTTTCATACAAAAATGTTTAATCACATTAATCTTTACTTTTATGTCATTTATTCAGTAATCTGTAATATGTGGTGTATCCTATGAATAAATCACCAGATTTCCATATTGAAACATACCAGCAATCTTTAATGCACTGTTGTTTTTCTCTGAACAGAGCATGTGATCATCTGCGCTGTACAGCATGTGATTTCTGGGTGGTGAGCTACGACGACTATATGTGGGATAAATCCTGCGATTATCTGTTTTTCAGGTATGTTTCCAAAGAACTTCACCCTGTGAAAAAACGTACCAAGCAATAACTTTATATTTCTTACTTTGCTGTAATGTCTCTTGGTGGACTTGGCAAGATCTTGTGGCCTCCACCTCTTGCATATTTCTGTCGTCTCCTCTTCTCCATCTGTCTGCTGTCAGCCTGTGAGGATATGTGACTTCCGGACAGGAGTATAGTAATAGCCTGCTTGCTGATTTTTCTGCCGACAGTCACTTCTTTTAGACCACCCTTTCCTTGCTGAGAATTAACGCATAACTCTGTGTGTGCCACGCTCTTGCCCAAAACTCTTCTGCATGTGGAGTCGTGTCCAGGTTCCTTAGTGCAGCATTCAAGACCCTTCACCATCCAGCCCCCATCTGTCACCCAGCGTGTCCTTCCGCAGTTTACTTTTTATTATGTTATGTTAATCACCATACATTACATCATTAGTTCTGGATGTAGTGTTCCGTGATTCCTTGTTTGTGCCATAACCCCCAGTGCTCCACGCAGAACGTGCCCTCTTTAATACCCATCACCAGGCTGACCCATCCCCCACCCCCCCTCCCCTCTAGAACCCTCAGTTTGTTTCTCAGAGCCCATCGTCTCTCATGGTTCGTCCCCCCTCTGATTTCCCCCCTTCATTCATCGTCACAAGATTATAGCTGCATCCGAGTACTCAGTACTGCCGCCATTCCCTGTGATAATGCAGGCTCTTCCCTTCCTGGTGCAGCCTTCCCACCATCCCACCCTTTATTTACCTAAATCTGACCTGTCCCTAAGGGTACAGTTCATTGCACATCCTTCATGATTCCCTCACCCCTCTGTCAACGTGGAAGTAAATCCATCTTTTCCTATGTGTCCACAGCACTTCGTACCTATTCTAGCACTCCCTGGAATAGAAGATTGAAAATCTTCGGTTGGTATACATCTGCCTCCCTCCTTGGGGTCAGGGTAGTGTCTGACTCATGTTTTTGCAGTTTATACATTCTTATACACTTAAGCCATACCTAATGTTTTTAAGATATTGTAAGTTATAAAAATGTATCTGAATTATACATCACGTGGGGCACCTGGGTGGCTCAGTTGGTTAAGCATCTGACCCTTCATTTCAGCTCAGCTCTTGATCTAAGGGTCCTAAGTTCAAGCCCCGCCATTGGGCTCTGTGCTGGGCGTGGAGCCTGCTTAACAAACTAACTAACTAACTAACTAACTAAATAAATAAATAAATAAATAAATAAATAAATAAATAAAATTAGGCTGTGAATTATACATTACATTTTCAAATAAAAATTAAGCGCTAAAAATTAATCATGCATTTTTATCCCCCACCCCAAACCTGGGCCTAAACAAGAATTATATTTTCTGACACAAGTAATCAGAAGATATTCTATCTCTCTCTAATAGATAAAGAAAAAGGTGAAAGTCTTTCTTCCACACCTCTTCTGGGAGCCATTCTCCTGTAAATCCATAGGCGTCTCCTCTACTTGAATTGTTTTTTAAATTCTTCCACATCAAACCACTTTGAAAATTTTATGAAAACTTTGAATCCTCTCTACACATACAGAAGAGTTCAAATACACAAATTCATGGAAAAATAACAATTTGAGAGGTTTCACATTTCCCTACCCAAATGAAGCCTAGTGCAGTCCCAAAATCCCTGATCAGGTTAGCCCACTTTTAATCCCAGAGTTGGAAAAGTTAACTTTTAATTTCAGGTCTGTGTTGCCATTTCTGACTTTTCTCAGTCCTCTGCTCTGGTTAATGTAATGAGTGGTCAGTAATCCCCCTATGTCACCGATATGAACCATCAATTTTTAAAAAACTAGTATAGTTTTCTATAGAATGCATGTAATGTCAATGCTGTAGTGAGCTCTCTGTGACTGTTGAAGGAGGTAAAATAGTGATGTATTCAGGGGAAAGCTAGGAAATGGAAGATTTTCACATCTGATAGCATGGCTGTGTGAATGAGGATGTGAGCTGCTGAAAGTAAAGGAGCAGGGAGAAGATGAAACACTTGAGGAGGGTGGGGAGTAATAGCCGAAGGAAAGCACAAGTAGGTGGTCACCAAAGAAGGCAAGTCAAAAGACTTGCAGGGTGCCATTGATTGTCTGGCAGAACATGGGGAGCCGGGCGCCTGGGTGGCTCAGTCGTTAAGCGTCTGCCTTCGGCTCAGGTCATGATCCCAGGGTCCTGGGATCGAGTCCCACATCGGGCTCCCTGCTCCGTGGGAAGCCTGCTTCTCCCTCTTCCACTCCCCCTGCTTGTGTTCCTGCTCTCGCTGTGTCTCTCTCTGTCAAATAAATAAATAAAATCTTTAAAAAAAAAAAAGAACATGGGGAGCCATTTATTTTTAGTGGTATCAGTCTGCACTTTGGCTTGTTTTATTGTCCTTATCTTATAAATGAGGGAAATGTGTATCCTAACTTTGACAAGTTCTAGAATTTTCAAAAAGAAGTATAAGCTATACTTGATCATCCTGCCATAGTAGCTAAATAAGATGCTTTTATTTTCCTACTAAATCATTTTGTTTATGGAAAATTATTTTTCTAAGCTTTTAAGATATGTGCTTCCTAAAAGCAATTCAAAATGCATTAATTAGTTGCCTGGCTATTCATGATTCCTACTCATAAAATCTCTAAGGATTCGGTCAAGTATCAAATGTTAAATTTGTCACGATATATGGCAGATTGAATAAAGAACAATTTAGTATTCATTTTGTGGAGTTTTTTTCTTTCTGATAAAACTTAGATGATCCATCTCTTCCCCTGGTTTACTGAAATCAAACAGTTGGCCTGGAAAATCTCCTAGGTTTTGTTAGGTTCAAACCTAAATTATGTGGGGATTTTGTACAAACAGTACTGAGTGTGGTGCCCATTGGCCACCAGAGGGCACTTTGTAGCCTGCCTTCTGTTGCAGTGACAGTACTTTGTGTCTCTTTTTTTAATATTCATACTGTATTTCATCATTTTACTTTGTATTTTTTCATCATTTCATTTTGGATTTTTCACTTTTTTTCCTGTCACAGAATAGTTACATAAATTCAGTACATGGATTATCATGAAAATCATAATTGATTTTCAGTTCATTAAACTTAAATTAACTTCTCTAGTCTTTTTTTATAGTAGCATCAAGTCAGATGGTTATCATTTTTTATGATGGTCCTGCCCATTGATTTAATTTTTTTTTAAAGATTTTATTTATTTAATTGACAGAGAGAGAGAGAGAGAGACAGAGAGAGAGGGAACACAAGCATGGGGAGTGGGAGAGGGAGAAGCAGGCCTCCCGCCGAGCAGGGAGCCCGATGCGGGGCTCCATCCCAGGACCCTGGGATCATGACCTGAGCCGAAGGCAGTCGCTTAACCAACAGAGCCACCCAGGTGCCCCTGATTTAATTATTTTAATATTATTGACATTTAACGCAGGATAGACATTTATTCTGTTGCTAATAGTATATCTTGCCGATAAGTATATCATTGAAACAAATGAAAGATATAATATTAGTTCAACAAACAGAAATAACAGGCACTTTTTCTCTATTTAATGAAAAATGCTATAGTTAACCCATCAGAAGCCTGTTTATGCCTCTTACATGCCCTTCATTGGCCATATTGCGGGCTTTTAGAATATGGTATAGGTGAGTATCTGAGGTAGGAAATGTACCACCGTACCTTTCAGTCTCTTCTCATATCGTGTCATCTCTGATAGGACAAATCAATAATTCTTCATTCAGCCTTTTAGTTCATTGTGTTCTATTACGACAGCTTTAATAAACAGGCCTAGAGGATTGCCCTTCAAAAGCACTGGATATCACGGAAACACCATCAGAAAGAACACAGAAGCCTATCTTCTGTTGTTTGGGTGAGAAGACCAAGGTTTTTTAGTGTTCAGATGTTGTAAAGATAGGAAAATAAAGCAATGAGAACTTTTTTTTTAAGTCATTCAGCTCTGAGCAAAGCCACTGTGCTAAAATCTTCATTTTTTATTAACAGGAACAACATGCCAGAGTTCCACAAATTAAGAACAAAGTTGGTAAAGAAGAAAGGAACACGGGCATATGCCTGCCAGTGTAGCTGGAGAACTATTGAAGATCTGACTGACCTTCAGACTGATCATCAGCTTCATTGGGTTTGTGGTAAACATTAAGAATGCAGACTTTTCGTATTCAGACAAATGCATACAATGAGAGCAGTCTCCAGTAACCATCAACGTATTTAGATAAAGGTATGAAGCATTATCATGCCCTTTGGAAAAAGACAGGAAATTTCATTTAATGACTATATAGTATAGATTTTCAAAGACCTAATGGACTTGAGAAGATAATGTGCTTTAACATTTTGGAATTATCTCTTTTTGATATATGGGCATTTCACTTAGTAAGTAAGGTAGCAAGTTATCCTAATTCTTTGCTAGCCTGTCTCCTGTTAAATGGAAGTTTTATTATGGAGTTTCATACAAATATATAGCCATTCATTAGCAACTGCAATATTAGTCACTGCTAATACTCTTAGCTAAATATTCCTCATTTACAATATTTAAAGGGAATAAAGCCAACCAGTGCAGAGAGGTCACTGGGAGGTGTATACAGCATCTCCTCTGGTCAGATCTATTGTTGCCAAAGATCAGAATGTAGACATGGCAGAAACCATGTGATCAGTGGCTAACTGAAGGATTTTGGGGAGCACAGGTTTGTTGTAAATGAAAACACTGCCTATGTTGACCTTATATCAGTAACTCCAAATGATATTATGTACAATAATGATAAGTATATATTCTAGTTTTAGCTTATTTCTTCTCCTTATGTTCATTTAGATATCAAAAGTTAGTTTGCTAGTTTAGTAAATATTCATTTATATATAAAAAAAATTGGTGTACCTATAATCATAAGGAAAAATCTTAATATGGATAGATCATTATTGGATTTTTTCCAAGTAGTTCTCTAGCCTTCAGTGCCTAAAATTCCATCAAGTGAACAGCAAGTAAAATATTTTCTCAGGCAGCCTATTGATTTTCTGGTAGGATCAGATTGACATGTTCATTGTTAGATGAGTGCATGAGAAAAAAAATAAAGCATAGTGGAAGCAACAGGTAATCTGTTGTGCTCCTCCTTGACATCTCTGAGGCTGGAGGAACCCTACAATAGCAGCACATTCAGGAAATCAGTTACCTCAAAATTATCAGTTCCCAGCACCATGGAAAAATTCTGGGGGCTTTCCAATCTGCCATAAGCTCTTTATTGCTCGTGTCTAAGATATAGTTCAAATGTATGACACAAGGCATGCTGAAAGGGAGTAACTGAAGCAAAGCTGTGATTGCTTAGTCTTATGCTGAATCCATTCCAGTCACACCACTCAAATAAGAAGAAAGACTGGCCATTAAAATCCTTTTCCTAGCCGTGACACATTTGCTTACCTGTAAAACTGACTGTAGTAAGTCTAGCATTGCAACAAAACCCATAGTGAACTCACAGTGGCAGATGCTTACATTTTTGTATGGACAATGTTTACAGATTTTATCTTTGAATAAAAATTTTTTTACTCCCTAAAATTTTACCTCTGTGTAATTGTATGAGAAACAAGGGGATTTGATTGAGAAACCATAAGTCACATGGTGATGTTTTCTCTTTATTCAAATGAGCAAATTTACTAAATCATTAATTTGAAAATATGTTTTTCTCTTTTATTATTTCATTACTACCCTATATCTTGGATACATTACTCATGTTTGGCATTCCGTAACATAATTCCCCAGTGTCAGAAATGTACATATGAGTTCACATTTTTGTTAGCAATTTACTTTATAAGCTTTTTAATATGTACAAGTTTTAATCTAAAATGTAGAAAGAATATTATGTTTATATACAAGTGAATAAATTATTACCAGTGGAAATTTAAGCCAAAATGCAACTATTTTAGTAACAAAGCAGAAGAAAATCATAGTTTCTGATGAGCTATAATTTTAAAATGCAAAGTCTATAAAACTTTCAAGATGTTTTGCCTATTTGTTTTTAATATTTATAATAATTTTCTACTTTAGCAATTATCTATTTTTTGTCAAGCCAGGTAGCTCCTTTCTTTGAGCTGTATTATACTCCCAGACCCTTATCCTGCCTAGAAATGAATAAATAATAAATAGCTTTATTCTGTATTTAGTTACTTTTTTATTTTTATAGTAAAATATTCTTATGGGGATTAGTTTGAAATAATTTTGGTAATTTCTTTTAAAATGTCAACAAAAGAGTTTCAGACCATCCAGTTGAACAGAGAATTTATTTATTTACATTGGAGAGGAGAAACATGCCATAAGTTTAAGTGTGTGTGTACATGCATGTATAAAAGAGCATTGGCATTTTTTTTCCAAATATATAAAGAGTTTTATTTCACAAGACCAATTTTCTTCTGTTTCATTGTCAATAATCTCCACATTTTGACTATAAGAACTTCTGCTTTATCAAGTACCATGGCAACATCATCTAAAATAATTTGAACTGTGAGCAATAACCTTAGAACACATGAGATCAACGAATGTAGCTCCTTTTTCACCTGTGTATTCTATGATTTTCTTATGAATCCATGTTCTAGTCCATCATTCTGTCAATAGACCAATCCAGGAGATAAGCAAAGAGCTTGGGTTTGGCTGTAGGGATTTTCTCCATGAGACTCTTAACTGTTTATGCTTCTCTTCAGTGTTTACAGTGCCTTTGGCAGCGTTTCATCATCCTCACAGTAATCCAGGGGAATCGGTTTCCTTTTTCATGGTGTATCATCACTGCTTCATCCTCAGATTTGTTAAAAACACTGTCTACCAGAAGTTTCTTTCCCTTCACAGTATGAGGCTGACCAGGACTATTGGAAGCACCACATTTAAGACTTAGTGCTGTTTTTGGTCTCTGCTCTTCAGGTTGTTGTTGGTCTGGAGAATTTTCATGAGGAATAATAATACCACAGGGAGACTCCTCCCCAAGAGCGTTGGGGGCTGCATTGCCACTGGCAGAGGACATGGATGGGGCAAAGCCAATGGCCTCAGAGTTGGTTTGAGACAGGCCTTTGCTCTGGCTCTTCCTCTTCCGTGGGTTCCTCTCATTTTACTTCTTTTTCTTGCTATTCTTCTTCCTCAGCCTCTGGTTCTGGTTCTTGCTTTACGTGTACTTGTCCGCATCCTCTCAGCCTCTGTTCCAGCCTCTGGAGCTCTGCATCTGGATCCAGAAGTGCTACCTGATCTCTAGTTCTTCCTTCTCTCTCCTCGGTCCCGTTCATTGGCTTCCATTTCCTTTTCCCTGTCGTGCCCCCTTTGCTGAAGAACACTTCCTCTGTGATGTTTGGGGTCATCTATATCGTCATAATCTTCTAAGAATTCTTTTAGTCCTTTAGCTTCTTTTGCCATTTCTCTTCTCTCTCCTCTTTCAGCCTCTTGCTCGTACTCCCAGGTTTCCTTCCGGTCTCTGCTTTCCCAGTTCTGAAGCCGTTCTTGGTAAGAAGCTTCTTCCTCTGAGTTTTCGTTCAGGTTTTCTTTGTTCTTCTGCATCTTCTTCATCCTCTTCATAGTCCTGCTGCTTGCCTTCTCTGTCCCCCATTCACATTCTTTCTCGTCCTCATTGTCTTTCATGATCTCTGCTCTTGCCTCTCGATCAACTGCCGTCCTTACTCCGCTCTGAGCTCCTTTCCCAACCGCAGTCATGATCCCTGCCCCATTGCCCTTCTTGCTCCCATTCCTTCTTTCGTTCACGTTCTCTCCCTTTCCCATTCCCATTCTCACCTTTCTTGTTCCCATTTATATCCCTTCTCTCTTCCTGTCTGTCCTTTATCAATATCCTGTCTCTTTTTCCATTTCCTTGTTGCCTTTCTCCCAGTTTCTTGTATGTGTCTCTGAATTTCCTGATTTCTCAGGATATCAGGTCTCTTTTGTCTTCTTCTATTTCTATAGCGATTATATCCTCCTTAGTGGTAAGTGGGTAATTGATCAGTGGAGCCACTAGAAGTGTGTGGAAGCTGTCCTCCTTTTCTTCTTCTTCCTGGGGTGAGAGTCAGATTCTTGAGTTCACTGGGATTTAATATATTTATTTGGGTTTGTGGCAATATTTTGTGCCCTATTTTAAAAGGTTGCTAGGATATATGGATATATAGATATATATGCAGTTGATAATTCAATTTGTTTTCAGACTTTCCCCAAATGCCTTGAGATAATAGGTGACAATATGAAATGTTACCAATTCAGAGTTCAGTCATGTCCCTTGGATAGTTCCTTAACTTTTTGGGCTTCATTTGCCTCATTTGTATGAATGGTGATATCTCTTTTATAAGCTCGTGTAAGGATTACATTATATGAAAAGTGACTAGCATAGTGTTTAGTTCACAATAAATGCTTAATAAATGTTCTCATTCTTCTTCCTTCTGAAAATAATACTGTCTAAATCAAATAATGCAGCATGTTTGGTACAACAAAGCATTTGATCACATGTTTATTTTTTCATTCCCTAAACATTACTTATGAGGAAAGCAGCTATGCTCTCATTTTTATTTTATAACTAGTAAATGGAAACATGGCCAGCTTTATTTTTATATAACTTGAAACTAAAGCTTTCAAAAACTGAAAAGAAGACAAAAAAAACCACTCATCCTAGCCTCTTCTTCCTGTCTGGTTTAAACCTATTTGATGGAGCACCCGGGTGGCTCAGTTGGTTAAGCGACTGCCTTCGGCTCAGGTCATGATCCTGGAGTCCCGGGATCGAATCCCACATTGGGCTCCCTGCTCAGCAGGGAGTCTGCTTCTCCCTCTGACCCTCTTCCCTCTCGTGCTCTCTATCTCTCATTCTCTCTCTCTCAAATAAATAAATAAAATCTTTTAAAAATAAGAAAATAAAAAATAAAATAAAAAACCTGTTTGATGGTCATGACGGCATCTGGGCCTTTCCCGGTATCTTCTCAGCTTATCTGCCTCTGCTTCCCTCCTCTTCCAACCAGACGTATATCCTACCCATTGTTCCTTAGATACGCCTCACATTTTACTGCCTTCTTGATGTTCCTACTCTCCCTCATCTTAGCCTATCAAAATCTGACAGGCTTTTTCAAAGCCTGTACCTTGGATAGTTGTCAGAGTGTTGTCCACTCTCAGGGGAGTCCCCACAAAAGAGGGTCCACATGGTCAAACCTATTTGCATAACGCTAGGACATCAACTTCCTTTTTCACTGTGTTGACATTGATTCTGACAGTGCAAATGTGGATCCACCCACTGGCACCTTACTGAACATGATTCAAAGTAGTGGCACGGGCACTTGGCAGTAGGAAAAGCCACTTTTACTTAAGAATGTCCTCGAAAAAGACAGTAAAAATTACTAACTTAATTAATCGGGGCCTTCAAGAACATATCTTTTTCGTATGCTGTGTGACTAAATGGGGAATACACAAAAAGCACTTGTGCAATGGAGTTGTGAGCTGAAAAAACCACTTTTTTCATGGAATTCATTTTTGCATGAAAGAAGAACAAACAGTACATATTCAGACTTGAATATTTGGCATCCATTTTCTCAAAAATTAACTAAGTGAGTCACATCCAGGAAAATAACTGACAGTGTTTTTGCCAATGATAAAAATTCAAGTCTTCAAGCAAAAATAAGAATTCTGGAAAATGTATCAACCACTTTGAGTATGACATCCTCCCCAGTACTTAAGACTTTCCTGACGAGACTAGTGGTGATATGAACAAGTGATTTTTTTTCCATCCTGTTATATAATGAAATGTGAAAATATTTGGAAGATCTGTATAATTCAAAAGATCAGCATTGCTAAATGACCAATGCATGATATTACAAAACTATGCATTTAAAATGCAAGATAGACCAATGGATTTTAATGAAACAATAATAAATGTTCATTGATATGATTTCAGTTTCCACAGTGCAACTAACTTTTAAGAAACTAGCACTTTTCAGGTTTTGATGTAGTATTGAAGAAGAGCCACAGTTATCTGCAAAGACTATTAAAATACTCTTCCCTGTTCCAACTACGTGTCTGCATGAGGCTGAATTTTCTTCTAAGGCTTCACCCAAAACAAGATCCGAAGAGCGAATACAGCAGTAGTATAAGAATCTAGATATCTTCTGTTAAGTCAGAGATTAAAGAGATTGGCAGAAACATAAAATGCCACTCTTCCCACTACCTTTGTTTTGGAAAATAATCGTTTTTATAAAAATGTGACAACATGTAATGGGTTTATTATTCTTAACAGTCTTTAATGTTCTCTGTTTTAATTTCTAATATGATAAATATCAATAGATAGAACTGCAAAAACCAAGCTCTTTGGGGTTCACATAATTTTTAAGAGTGTAAAAGGGTCTTGAGACCACAAAGGTCGAGAACTGTTATGCAAATCCTTTGTACCTTCCCTACACACATGCCACACTGGCCTGAAGATGTGATTTCTCCCCCTTTCATCTGATTTCAAACTTTCTACTTCTCATAGAACACCCTGTATTACAATTATTTGTGTGTTTAGTATAATCATCTTGAAGCTTAGATTTCAAGCTCTAAAGTCTTGAATGATCTGTCAGTGGTTTAGGGGGAACTGTCTGGGACAGCTGTACCACTAACTTCCTCGGGCACTATGGGTAAGCCACTGTGTCTTTGGGCCCATGTATAAAATGAGAGTTGGATTTAATCACATGTTTCCTTCTAACTAGGATATGATATTTTTTTTTAAGATTTTATTTATTTGACAGAGAGAGACACAGCAAGAGAGGGCACAAGCAGAGGGAGAGAGAGAAGCAGGCTTCCCGCTGAGCAGGGAGCCCAATGGGGGGCTCATTGCGGGGCTCGATCCCAGGACCCTGGGACCATGACCTGAGCCGAAGGCAGACACTTAATAACTGAGCCACCCAAGTGCCCCGGAAATGGTATTGAATACCGTTCCTCTTAAAAGAACTTGTGGACCCAGTGTCGTACATCCATACACTGAGAGGTAAGGTACTTGTCATGGGGAAGAGCCCAGATTTTGGGGTCAGAGAGACCTGGATTTCAAAAAGACAATATCTGCATCCTCTTAGAGCTTTCAGTCAGTGGGGGAAAGAAGTGAAACACTTACTACTGAGACCATGAGTGCTCTCAGAAGTAAACAAGGTGCCTACAGGGGACAGGCATCTAAATCAGGTTGGGAGAGAAGAAGGTTCTTCCTCCTTGTAGAAGATGATTCTTAAGTTGTCTTAATGTTTTAGAAGAATGACAAGTAAACTGATCTGGCTTGCTTTTCTACAGTGAACGTGGAGGAATGGAGTGGTAAGATCCGAGGCTGCCCAGGCAAGTAGGGTTGAATTAGGAAACCCGTCCCATATACCCCCTAGAACAGAAATGGAGCAAACAGGAAGAAGCAGTTGAGAGAGAAGGCTGACAAACACTTTCTCTGAGTGACATGAATGCGTGTAGTGCTACTGTTCACAATTACTTTCTCCTCCCTCCAGGAGGACCGCATATCCTCACCTGTTGAACTCAGGGGATTAAGAATGACATCCCACACTCTGAGAATGAAAGGACCTCCAGGAGGCATTCCCAAGAAAGCCATGTTAAGTTAAGGCAGAGGGAGGGCATGTGGAGTTCACCACAGAACAGGTATTCCAGAGGGCACGGTGAACCAAGCTGGCCAAGAGAGAAGATGGAGGAGCAGAAGACAGCAAGAGATGGGTAAGAAGAACAGAGCAGTACTGAGATGAGAGCCTGGAAGGAACTTACATTTCAACCAAAAAACAATAGGGATCAGAGCTCTGGGGGATTGGATCTAACTGAAACTCTGGTTCCAACTAGAAACAAGGTGGTTTCCATGCATGACATAGTCTCATGGCCCTGAGTGGTGACCCAGGCTGTTGGACTCTGCTGCATCCGGGTCAGCAGTCTACACCCTTTGCTCTCAGTTGTGAACAAAATTGATTCTAATAACATCCAGACTGTTAGGAAACTTCAAAGCTTATCTCTGGCTAGGGAAGTACAAAGTACCCAAGAAAAAAATGTGTCGAAACGTAGTCATTGTCTGCAGAAGGCCATTATAGGCCCTCTGAATACTAGTGAGGAAGGCCTAAGGACTAACCCACCCCTTCTATCAAGAATTTGTTCATTAGGGCACCTGGGCGGCTCAGTCAGTTGGGTGTCTGCATTTGGCTCAGGTCATGATCCCAGGGTCCTGGGATCAAGCCCTGCATGGGGCTCCCTGCTCAGCAGGGAGCCTGGTTCTCCCTCTCCCTCTGCCTGCCGCTCCCCCTGCTTGTGCACACGTTCTCTCTCTGTGTCAAATAAAATCTTTAAAAAAGACAAAAAAAAAAATCTTCATTAGAACAAGCTGTTATCAGGGAGCCAAGAGGATTCAGACAGATAAAGAAGGCTTCAGTTTGCTAGAGATCAATACCAGAAGAAAGGCAAGAAGAATGAACACATGAGATAGTTTCATCATTATTCTTACGGTTGAGGAAACTGAGGCACAAAGAACTTGTCCCAAGTCACATAGGTTGTAAATAGAAGATTAGGATGCAAACCTAGATCAACCCAACTGCATCTGTGTAGAGGGAAAGGAGAAGTTGCTTTCCACAGGATAAGCTAGAGCAGAACCTCAGTTGAGTAATCCAGGGCTTTCACCTCGGTATTCCCCAGTAGAGCCCTAATGGACTAAGAGATAAAAACCCCAGACTATGAGAATGTATGATCCCAGTTTTACCAGAATAATACTTTGAGATATTTTCTATAATTTTGTTTGGAGGAAGCAAGGTACAGTGAGTGCCCAGGTATAGCTAAGTTTCAGGTTGTCACCCACTGCTGATGGACAGGTAGCCTACAGGAACAATATGAGGAGGATGCCAGGTTAGGCACAACAGGAAAGCATTCCCATAGTCTACTAGTCAGGCCTGCCATGGGCTCAGGGATGAGGGATGAGAGACTACAGTGGATTTGATGACCCAAGACAAGATGTCTAGCTCAGTGGTTCTCAACTCTGGCTTCAGAGCGAGTCACCTGGGAGCTTTAAAAAGTGCTAGTACCCAGGCCCAAGGCCAGAAATTCTGATTAGCCCGTCTGCGATGTGGTCCGAGCATCAATATTTTTTAAAAACTCACTTATTCCAAACAAACAGGGTTTTAGAGGGGAGGAGGGAGGGGGGATGGGTTAGCCCAGTGATGGGTATTAAGGAGGGCACATACTGCATGGAGCACTGGGTGTTATAGGAAAACAATGGATCGTGGATCACCACATCAAAAACTAATGATGTGGGCGCCTGGGTGGCTCAGTCGTTAAGCGTCTGCCTTCGGCTCAGGTCATGATCCCAGGGTCCTGGGATCGAGTCCCACATCGGGCTCCCTGCTCAGCAGGAAGCCTGCTTCTCCCTCTCCCACTCCCCCTGCTTGTGTTCCTGCTCTCGCTGTCTCTCTCTGTCCAATAAATAAATAAAATCTTTTAAAAAATAAATAAATAAATAAATAAATAACTAATGATGTACGGTGACTAACATAACATAGTAAAATTTAAAAAATAGAAAATAAAACAAAACAAAAAAAACCTCAGTTATTCCAGTGTGCAGTCAGGATCGATATCTACTAGTAGCAATAGGATCTTGGGCACATCACATTCCTCGTTGGGCTTATTGTCCTCATCTGTTTCAAAAAAGAAACAGTTATTTGTTAAAAGCTCTTACTGCCAGTATAAAAATATGAGCTTACAATTGGTGATGTTTAATGTCCCTTCTAGGATTAAACACTTTCATGAGTCTTTTTCATGATGTAATCATTCTAAAATGAGTATTTCATTTAGGGTTCAGAATATATCATCATTAGTGTTTCTCTTAGTGTCGATGCTGGTATTAAGGTTTGAGTCCCATTATAACCTACTCACCTTACATGGGAAAGAATTGCAACCTCCAAATGTAAACGATGCAAGTCCTTCCCACTAGGAGAAGCATCTCAGAGCATGTGGCTCTCCACAAAGTACTGGCACCATCTTCCACTGCAAAGAGAAGCACTTACTAACAATATCAAGTAGAAATCAGGACTCCAGAAAGTAGATTGAAAACAATTTTAAGTCAATAGAGATATTGTACATAGAGGCCATTGTAAGTTCTTATATTAAAGATTTTTTTTAAGATTTATTTATTTAAGGGGGGGCAGCAGAGGGAGAGAATCTTCAAGCAGATGCCCCTCTGAGCGGGGAGCTCAACGCGGCGCTCGATCTCACAACCCATGAGATCATGACCTGCGCCGAAACCAAGAGTCAGACGCTTAACCGACTGAGCCCCCTAGGCGCCACAAAGATCGTTTTTAATTGACATCCACAAGATGTGTAGGGAAAATTATAAAAGATTTGCTCTCAAAGAATTTAATTTTTTTTTTACATTTTTTATTGAGGGATCGGGAATTAAACAAGATTTTTCCCCAGCAGATTGAGGCATATCATATTACAATCGTCTTCCCCCTCAACATCTGGCGCCTGGAAGGACCAGCAAATGCCTCCCAAGTCCCTTCTATCTGGCCTAGGTTTCCTTCCGCCGCTTACTATGCACTCAAGACTACTGGGGCTTCTCTGCACTCAGCTTTTATGGAAGAACATTGGATATTTAATCAAATTACCAGCTCTGGTGATAAACCCAGGGACTAAGAAGGAAAGGATTTGCATGACCCCACCTGCAAAGGCATAGATGTGCACACGAAACTCACCACCGCGTCCTCAGGGAAGGAGCCTCACGCCCCTCCTTGCTTTTGCCCCTGATGATCAGCAAGGTTGAGCCCTAAATAAGCCGCTATCGTAGGTGAGGTTAGGAGTACAGACGTGCATCCAGACTGTCTGGATTTGAATCCTGACCCTACAACTTGAGGGCACGTGATGTTCCACAGGTCACTTCTCTTACCTGAGCCTCTTCTCGCCCACTAGCGGAACAGAGATTGTAAGAACGCCTACCTCACAGAATTGGTGGGAGGAAACGAATGAAATAATCCAGGGAAAGCATTTAGCATGATACCTGGCTCATAGTACATACTTAGGAAGTGCGAATTCTCTGCTAAGTTCTGTCAATATTAAAGTGCATACCTTAAAGACAACTCCCTGCCACAGTCCTAGATTGGTTTTCTCCTTCGGCATTCTTCCTCTTTTGCCTTAAACGTGTTTCACCACCACTAAGCTTCATGTTAAAGGCAGACCCAAAATGAGCCATTTAAAGGGTGCTTCAAATCGCAGGTGTATTTCACTTAAAGTGCCTGCCTGGCCTTGCTCCGTGTGTGGCCAGCAGGCCCAGAGTCGCTGGTCATCACACAGGAGTAGGGTTGATAAAACGTGGGTTATTTCTTAAGGAACTATAATAATAATCAGTCTTTTACATGAAGTGTCTGACTCTGGTGAATACCAAAAGTCAAAATACAGACATCTACAGGCAGAATCGGTACATTTAGGCTCTTCACAACCTAGTGAAATTCAACACAGGACACCCCGCATTTGCTCATCTTTGGTTATAACGTGACCAAAATGGAAACCGCTCATCTTATGTGTCGGTACTTGCGCTAGAAACATATACTTTTCCCATACAGAGAGTAAGGAAAGCACCTTGCCTAAACTTCCCCTTTTACAGTTTAAAAATTCTTACTGTAATTTCGGGTCAGCTGTTGAGTCATCCAATCACATTCTGAGCCCAGCTCCACCATCCCTGAGGCCTGAAGGACTCTTTACAGAGCTACAGCTAATTAGAGTGCAGAATTGCCCTGAGGGCTTAGGGATTTAAAAAGACCCACTGTCAAAAATAAATAAATAAACTAACTAAAATAAAATAAAAATAAACGAACAAACAAAAATAAAAAAGACCCACCGTTCTGAGCCCTACCAGACTCGATGAAACTAATAAATTGAGAATCTGGCCCATAGGGGGCAGACCTGCACTGAGGACCGGATAAAATGTCTTTGTTGGGCTGTGGTCTGGGAAAAGCACACATAACACTGTTGTAAAACATCATCCGTTTCCATTTTCCGTCAGTCCGCCTCCTGTTGTTAACGACATCCTGCAGTGGTGGAGTTCCGTGTTTCTTCTCCGGCCAAAAATAGAAACCCCCCGTAGTCTAAACCATCTGTCTGTTTTTAGGAGAAAAGGAGAGGTACCAAACACTAGATCCGGTTTACCAGGGGCGCGGAACAACCCTCTCCACGCAGAAGCCCTTGTCATCTGGAGCTTGTGGCCCCGCCTCTGGAAGAAAATCGGAACAATTTAAATAACTCCCTTCCAAAAATTGACTCCTCAAGTACTTCAGGGAATCTAAGTGGACATAAAGCCATGAAAGGACTCCTCACCTCCCACAAAAGATGGGAAATCAGGGTGCCAGGCTTGGCAGAGGCAATTGGGGAAGCCACAGGGGTGAGTGAGTTTGTGCTGACGGGCTTTCTGAGACCGGGAAACCGTATCTCCATGACCTTAGAGCATGATTAGTCAGCACAAATATTCCCAGAATACAGTGATTGGGTTTTATTTTTAATTTTGTTTATTTAAAGGTGCAGAAAAACACAAAAGAAAAAAATCATTTCATAACTCTCACTTTTTTTGTGCATTGAAACACCACAATCTATAAAAAGGCAGAAATCCTTCCACTATCCCAAGAGGCAAACAACTGTTCATTTGGCGCCCATCCTTCGGGATGGGTGAATGAGACATTTACTGAATTTTTTTTTTTCTTAACAAAGAAAAAGATGGAGTCCTGTCGGCTGCCTGGGCAACCTCAAAACCGGCATCTGCAGAGGAGGGCTCCGAGGGGCCAGCGATCTCCCCACAGGGCCTGCTGGCAAAGAAGAACCAGCCCCGCCTCCATCTCCATGGGCTGTGCCTCACAGTCAGAAAATGAACGCTCAAAACATGATCACAAAAATTCTCATAGCATTTAAACTATTACATTGAGCAAATTACTATATGAACAGAAAAGTATAAGCCACATAAGATTACAAAATTCAATTACATACATATTATATGTAATACATAGCATATGTAATGTGTGATATATATATTGTATGTATATATGTGTATATTTTTACAGGTATTATAAGCACTGTAGGTTCTATAAATTGTACGTATATATATATATATATATACATATGTATATATATTTTTTTAAACAGGGCATTATAAGCAGTAGGTTCTACAGGGCTTGAAGAGCATCTTTAGCCCCGTGCTGTTCTACCTGTGAGCCGCTGCCGCTGTTTTTGACCTACCATAAGAGCTGGAGGCCAGGAGCTGCCAGTTTTAAGGGACAGGGCACCTTTCAGTCCTGTCCCTGTATCTCTGTGCCTATATTTATTGCTATAATATCAAAATCTAAACCTGAGCCCTTGGTGAATGTTCCCCCTGGGCTTCCTGTCTTCCCATCCCTTAACAGACCCTGTGCCCAAGAGTCTACGTCCATCATCCAGCTCCACACATCAGCCTGGGTGCTCCACCATCACCCCACATCAGGTCTGTGTTCTTCCAGTCATCCCCAAATGCTACCTGTACCCCCTTTGCTGCCCCCTGGCCACTGACACAACCACAGAAACTACCACGACTACGCTTCTAAGGTGAGGGCCTCCCCTGTTCTCTCAGAGGTGAAGGACTGCAGCCTCCCTAGGGTCAGGGTCACCAGCACAGGTTTTCAGCTCTGCAGGTGTCCACTGGCCATGAGGGAGTCTGCTGCATTGGGAGGGCATGAGAGTGTCCACCAGGGAGCCCCAGAAGTGCAGGGTGAGTGTGGCAGGAAGCATGTCACAGCACAGTTAGCTATATCGTCACGTGCTGGCTCGTCCACTTAACCTCCGTGAGCAACAGCGACATACAGGAAGGAACTGTGACTGTCCTTGCTAGATACTCTAAATCCCAAGCTCTCTTCAGTGGTTAAGCTTGGCGTGTCCTGAAGGTACATGTATTGTTCCCTGGTTATTATAACCTGTGTCTTTTCTGGACAGGGGCAGGGCTTTAGGACAGATTGCAAGGAAAGAAGACAGCAACTTAAAATGAGAGCATCCGAACTGGAAAGAATGTCAGACGAGATCATTAGTCCAGCCCCTTCATTTTGTAGATGTCAACAGGCTCAGAAAGTTGACATGCCTACAGACACACAGATAATGGTTTCAGGAACTTTTTTAGATGAGAGGAGTCTTGGAAATTATCAAGTCCGGCAAGCAGATGGGCCCCTAAGAAAGAGCATCTTCGATGCCCTACCTCTCCCTTTGGCCTAATTCTCTTAACTCTCACCTTGTCAGATGTGTGACCGGCCCAGGCCGGACCTCTCCAGATGGTCCCTTCTTTCCACCTCCCCTCCCTCAACCAAGACAAATCACTCCTGTCCACACTCTCAAGGACCCCCTCACTGAAACCAGATCCCCAAGTTGAAAAACAAGCTGATAAATAATCCCCCCCGCCCCCGCAGCTGTTAAAAGCTGATAATGGTTCCTAGTGGTTCTGCATGCATGGATATTCTTTTTTTTTTTTAACTTAATTTTTGAAAAGGCTCAATTCATATGGCTCAAAATTCAAACAATATAAAAATCCTCATTCCTCCACCTGCCTTTTATTGAACCAATCCCCATCCCAACTCCACAGGTAATCATTTTTATTAGTTTCTTATATATCTTTTTAGAGTTTCTTTATACTCACATAAGCAGATACAGATATATATATTCACAGAGAATTCTTAAGAGTTCTCAGAACTGTAAGCCAAAGAAATCTTTTTTTAAAAAAAAGATTTTATTTATTTGAGAGAGGGAGCACAAGAGGTGGTAGGGTCAGAGGGAGAAGCAGACTCCCCGCTGAGCAGGGAGCCCGATGCGGGACTTGATCCCGGGACTCCATCCCGGGACTCCAGGATCATGACCTGAGCCAAAGGCAGTCGCTTAACCAACTGAGCCACCCAGGCGCCCAAGAAATCTTGACAGTAGGACTTCAGGCACTGTAAAAATCTCATTGGGCAACAGGTCTTTCCCAGAGCCCCTTTTGGCAATGACTTGTAACAGGCTGGTTTCTTGTAGTCTGAGTTTCCTGCTCTAATGAAAATTAGTTCCAATGGGACTCTGTAACAAGATCATCACCCACAAAGAACCCCAACCCACTGCCTCATTTTCAAGTCTGAAAGGACGAAGGCGTAGGGGTTGGAGAAGCTCCAAGACCCCTTTCTTCATGTCTTGATTCATTTGTTAAACATTCCTATGGGCCAGGCACTGAACCGGGCCCTGGGGACACAGACATAGTCCCTGCCCTCATGGCAAAAGGAAGACAACATAGACCAAGGTTATCATTTATATTATTGCAACTGCAACTGACAGCAAATCCAACCCAAACAGGTCTATGTTTAAAAAGAGAATTGAGGGCGCCTGGGTGGCTCAGTCAGTTGAGCGTCTGCCTTCCGCTCAGGTCAAGATCCCAGGGTTCTGGGATGGAGTCTGGAATCGGGTAGCCCCCCCCCCATCAAATAATAAATAAAATCTTTAAATAAATAAAAAATAAAAAGAGAATTGACTGGCTCCTATAACTGCAGCCTGCAAGGATAGAGTTGGCTTTAGGAACAGCTTGATTCAAAGCTTAAATGCTATCACTAGGAACCATCTCTTCCTTTGCTCCCTCTTCGTTCAATTCTCAGGCAAGTCATGGTGACCCAGGCAGCCTGCAGTTCATATCATTACCAACTTAGGCCATTAGAAGTGAGTGAGTCAATGATCCCAAAAACTCAAACAAATATTCAGAGATTGAGTGCCCTTAGCCCTGATTGGCTTATTTAGACTACCCGCCCATTCCTGACCCAATCACTGAAGCCAAGGGGGATGGACTCTACTGATTAGTGTAGACTAGGTCACATGCTCCTCCAGGATAGGGGTCAACTTAACCCACAGCACATAGGTTAAGAGTGAAGGAGGGGTTGTACCCCAAAATAAAACATAGGTACAGTAGCTATACATACAAAATAGGCTGCTAGGCCACAAAAATAGAGACTATCCGCCCCATCCATGTAATTACAAGTAAGGAGACTGTTTCAAAGGGGAACTACAATGGGCCATCGGTCACCTGTCCCAGGGGGAGGCAGCGGGAATGTGCTCCCTAAGGAAGGAGCAGGCATCAGCCAAGTGGAGGTTGTGGGTTCATAATCCTAGAAGGGAAAACTCACGGGAAGGCCCAGAGACAGGAGAGAACCAGCCCTTTGGAGGAACTTAAAAATCTGAAGTGTGACTGGAGCTCAGAAAGCAGGCCTGAGGAATGGCAGAGACCAAGGGAGTGTTGAGTGTCACCTGTCGCAGTAGCTGGGGACCCAGAGCTAGTGAGAATGAGGATCAAATCTGACCAGATCCCTTCCCTGCTTAAAACACAGAGTCCCAGTTTCAACATGGCCTTCAGAGCCCTGTCCACTCTCCAGCCTCCCGTCTCTCCCACCCTTGGCTTGTCCCTGCACCGCTGGCGCCACACCCCCAACTCAGATGAGCATTCGGAGGGGAATGGGTCCATGTGCTGACACCAGCCAAAGACCTGTCCTCGGCCCCTGCTGTGGGGGCAGCACCTGGCCTCCCCGTACTCGCCACAGCTGTCTCTCCACTGGACACCCACCCTGTGAGCTGAGGCCAGGACAGAGGCTTTCACAGGGTCTGGGTCAAGAACGAACATGGGGGCTGAGCAGTGACCTCTCAGGGCAAGGAGCGCACAGCAGAGGGCCACAGGGTCAAAAAGCATGGTTCCTGAGCTCTACCCCTAGGCTCTGAAAGCTGCTGAGAGCTGATCCAGACTCCAGCTTTGAACTCCTTGAGAAATTTTTCGTTAACTTCTTTCGGGAGGGAGCCATAGAAAATGCAACTTCTTCAGGGTCACATGTACGGGAAGGTGGAGAAAACGACAAAGGAGGGTCAGGATTACATTTAATGCCTAATACCTCTTACCTTAAGTTCTGGGCAGAATTTTCTCCCTGCTTCCTCTCTGGCTTTTGACCTTTCTGACTTATACCTAAGCTGCCCAGTTTATATATGTGTTTTTAATTGTAAGCTGCCTCCATTACTTTCTGGAAGTAGTTTTTTTTTTTAAGATTTTATTTATTTATTTGACAGAGAGAGAGGGAACACAAGCAGGGGGAGCGGGAGAGGGAGAAGCAGGCTTCCCGCCAAGCAGGGAGCCCGATGCGGGGCTCGATCCCAGGGCCCTGGGACCGTGACCCGAGCCGAAGGCAGATGCTTAACGACCGAGCCACCCAGGTGCCCTTAGAAGTAGATTAATAAATAAATGAAAGAAGAATATTGGGAAAGTGTTTTTTGTTGTTTTTTGTTTTTTGTTTTTTTAATTCCACAGAGCCACCATAGGTTTCAAGTAATTTGCTAGATTAACTCCAGGCCCTCCCATGTTTGAAAGCATTTCCTTATCGTATGTCTAGGCCGTCAAAGTGGTGGGCGGCCAGCTTCCCCTGTTCGGTTGGTCGCTCACCCCTGCACCCCACACAGTTTCTTCCTGCCGGCCGGACAAGTCTAGCTGCAGCTGCAAGCACCCATCTATGTTTAGTGAACAGACCCGCCAGGCTCACGCCAATCATCTCGTGTATGCAAGGAGACCAAAAACGTGCATAAAGCTTCGAGAGGGCCCCAATGTCCTGAATGTGGCTTATGTACCGTAATTGCCATCTGCATTTTCTCATTTGTCAGCTAGAAAATTGCGTTCCTCCAGATCTGCTCTTAGAATCTGACCTTACAGATCAACCCCGCCAACCCCTGGGAGTAGAATCTTTGGCTACAACTCCAGACTCCCCCAGGCGCACACACAGCGACTCCTTCAGTCTTGTCCCATTTACTAAATCTCAGTCTTCTGTTTCTTGACATTAGAACCACATGAAGGCAGCACGATTCTCGTTGGCGGACGCTACGGCTGTCAGAGAACTAGGGAAGTCCTCTCTGCTGAGGGGAAGATTCGTGTGGAGTCCAGCCCCTGGCAATGCTGGGAGCCACTCAACTGGGACACCTACCCTATCCCCCAGCACCCATCTGCCCACTTTCCCCTTTTCTCCAGAATATCTCCCAGCACATTAGGGAGATGGCCACCAGCTCTTTCAAGAAGGACTTGATCTGTGTGAATCCCTGTGCATATGTTCCTAAAAGGCTGACAGACTAAACCAAGCCTTCCCCTCTTCCCCCCAGACACTGGAGCTGAGCAGAGAGGGGGCAGAAAGGATTGGCTCTGGGCCTTTCATCTGGCATCCTTCCCAGAGCAGGTGCTCCTCACTGCCAGTCGGCCGGCGATTCCAGGCACCTGCTAAGACTTTTCCCACCCGAGAAACTGAGTCCCAGCAAAGAGCCCAACAGCAATCATCCCCCAAATGGAGAAAGGTCCTGTTGGAAATAACCACCTTTCATGCTCTGCCTCACACCGCTTAAGGTCTCCTTGTAAACAAGCCCTGGGTGATTCACCTCCCACACCCAGGCAGCCTCGGAGGTGGTTTCCTAGATAAAAGCCCGTCCACTCCTGAGACAAAAATGCCCTCCTTCCCCCTCTCCCATGAAAGCAGCGGCTCCTGCCATCCTTCCTGGCTATACAGCAGACATTTTCTCTTCCACTCCATTAAGACTCGTCCAGCAACAGTGAGCGGCCTGCACAGAGGTGGGGAAGACTGGAAGCAGCCAGGCCAGTTAGGAGAACAGGGCAGGGAACCCTGAGGGAGGCGAGGAGGAGAAGCACCTGCAGCCACGCGGCCCATATGTGGTGGTAACAGGATGGTGCAGGCGTCAGCTTAGCTCGGGGTTTGTTGGGAATTCGGACTCGCAGCCGCCACCCCAGGCCTGCTGGTTCAGAATCTATCCTGCAGATCCCTGGGCGATGCGAACATTTGGGAAGCACTGATTTCCAGGCAACTCCAAGACTGATTAATTTGGAGGTAAGTCTCTAGTTCATTTCTTCCCCTTTCCCGCACGACCCCTGAGAATAATAAACGTTAGGTATGAAGGTCTTGATGCAAAGTAAGAAAACACACCCTTTCCTACTTCATTCTGGTAACAATCGTGGGAGGTTGGTGATGCTCTGTCCATTTTACAGACGAATGAACAGTCTAGGCTTAAGGAAGTGAGACCACTTTGCTCAAGAGCTGGGATTTCACCCCAGGCTGAAACCTGCCTCTTGAGGCAGGAATTCTTTTCTTTGGGGGCTGCATCTAGAACAAAACCCCAAGCCAAAAACATCCCCTCTGTAAATCCAGGCTGGAACCCACTTCAGGGGCTGAGGCTCCCTGGGGCCTGCCTGCAGGGGTGGGGGGAATGGGAGGGGCCCAGCAGGGCAGTGCTTTGAGCTGCTCCCATGAAATAACTGGGCACAAAGTCCCAGCACCAGGCCCTGTCCAGGCCTGTCCTTCAGCCACAAGCTCCTTCGGACCAAAACAGAGCCCTTTGGGCCTCGGTCTGACTCAGCAGCTTCAGAGGCAGGTTGGGGACACATTACCCTAGATCTCATCGCCGTTCCTGTGAGCTCACTTCTCCCCTGGATGCTGCCTTTCCTGAGGCATCACAGGGTTACAGACCCCCCACAGAGAGACTTCTCTCCAGAAATGCCATTTAGAGCCCCTGTCTCTGAATCTCGAGCTAGTGTCCCTCCTCCATGAAATCTGCCCAACTGCCCCAGGCAAAATTAAAGGCCCTAGGCTCCCACACGATGCAGCACAGACAGTTCTGCAAACTTGAATCGGGCATATATTATGTGCCCGGTAACCACGCCAGATGCTTTTGCATACTTCATCTCCTTTTATCCTTAACTGATTGAGACAGGTACTGCTCCTCCCATTTCACAGCTGTGCAAATGAGGCCAGTGGGTTGTGGAGCTAGGATTTACACCTGGGTCCTAACTCCAGCTCCAGGATTTAACCACCTAAGAGCTGCATCTTTCGTAGATTTAGTTGTAGAATTTAGCGTATTATTTGATAATTTTTTAATTGCAAGTGTGCGTGCCTTTTCCACTAGGACCATACACGTCCAGGGGTCCCCATCTTATTCATTCTTGTATCTCAGTGCTTAGAGTGCCCAGAACGTAATCTATGCTGAATACACTATGCTGAACTAAATTATTCAGCAAACTTTTACCAAGCAAAATGCTATGTGTCAGACCTGGTATTAAGAACAAGAGCTACAAAGATGAAAAACAGGTAACAAAGAAAATAAAACAAAAACAAACAAACAAACAAAACCCCGCATTAAACATACAGACATTGCAGGAGAATTAGGGACTTGGAAAGATGGAAGGATTAACAAAGTATGGTGGAGACACGCGGAAGGAGCCCCGGAGTCGGCCTGGAGAAAGGGGTTGGTGTGACCACCACAGCTCATGCAGAACCTGAATGAGATTGGACACAAGAAAGAAATTCACTACAATGGCTGGGACCTTTCAGGGATGAAAGAGCAGAAGCTGAAGCATGAGGGTTTGAAAGAGCCCCCCATTTTGCAAGAGTTTTAGGGAAATAATAAATAGCACTCTGGAGGGAGTGGGCTTTCGAAGAGTCCCCCATAAATTGAATTCCTCTCACCCAAAACACAGACCTCTCCCTTCCCAGAGCAAAGCCCACCCCAGTCAACAAACATTGGAAAACAGGCCCATATGCATCTTTCTGCAGGACAGGAAGAAAGAGATACCTGGCTGGAAGTGCTGGTTTTTTCTCCCAAGTCAACAAATAGCCCACCCCCAGCCCCAGGAGAGCCGATGGAGGAGCTTTTTCTTCTATACTCTTCCCTCTGGGGAGTCTGAAATTCCTTCCAGTCCATAGAAACAGAAGACCTTGGGAATGACTGCCCCCCACGCACCCCCCCCCCCGCCCCAGCCCACCCCACCCCCACAGCGTTCAGAGTGGCTGCCACAGGAAGTGCTACAGAGGGGGGTGCCTAAGGCTGAATGGGTGGGCACGTAGCCTGGGGCCACACACCAGCCACACACAAGGTCTCAATGCTGTGCAGTGGGGGAGGGCTTTACTCCTGAAGGTGATGGGGAGCCACTGAAGAATGGTGAGCAGGATGGTGACAGCACCAGGAAGGCCACTCTGGGAACTGTGGGGGTGAAGAGGACGGGAGGGTAACCTGCAAGGGGTCACCCCAGAACTCTGCCTGGGGCAGCAAGGATGGAAAAAAGGAATCAAGAAGTGTTTGGGAGGTGGCACATTGGGCCAGATGATTAAGTGGGTGTGACAGACAAAAGGAAGGAGGGAGTCAAGTTTCAGTCCAGGGTCTGGCCAGCAGCTGGCTGGGTGACGGTATTGTTCTGGAGGCTGAGAGGAGGGAGAGAGGTTGGCAGGGGAAGAAGCTCACTGTGGGGACATGTTGGGCTTTCAGTCTTGAATATCAGAAGATGCCGAGGATGCCCATAGATGGCTATCAGGAGGGAAAGCTAGCTTGGAGGGAGAGACCAGGAGTGAGCCAACTAGGAGAAGGCACATTTCCCAGACAACAGGAGCCTGGTGTGGAAAATAGCATGACAGTGAGTCACCCAGGACGATCTTTCTCTGCCTGGATCTCCTCCTGCTCCTAGGAAACTCCAGCGCCTCTCATACACATCCCAGGGAAATCCCCTGGGTGGGGGTGTGTAGGGGGTACCTTACATGAACTTACTTCATGAACTAGACCTCTGCTGCCACATGGTATCCATGGTTTCCCCCTCCCCATTCTACTCACTGTGGGCCCCCTGGGCTCAGCCATGCCTAGGGCCCTCCAACACCCATGACACTAGCCCTGACCCACTGGGGCCAGTACCAGCCAGCAAGGGCACTCATGTCTGCATTGAAAAGAGCAAATGTGCAACAAGCAAATGAGGTATGACCAAGATGAGAAGTGGTTTCTCTGAAAAGCAACAGAACCCAGCTATACCCTACTCCCTTAGCAAGCCAAGCTCCGCCTTGGTCGGGGCTAGCTCACACAGCCCACACTGTTGCCAACACCAAGAGCACCACCACCATCACTAGGAATGTCCCGACCATCTCCACACCCTGACCCCAGTCCAAGCCTGCCTTCCTTCCTACCCCAGGATTAGCATCTTTCCACAATGACTGATGTCAGAACCATCAATTTGCTTCAGGGGAGAAAAAAAAAAAAACCTAACCCCATCCATGTGGTGCAATCTGAAGGCATAGGCCATGTAGGCAAGAATCGGTACCCAGAATCTAGATCATTCATTCTTAAGTAATATCATCTCTGGGTCCATCATTAGCAAATTCTGTTGGCACTACCCTCAAAATCCATGCAAATTCTAACCACTCACCACCTCCGTTGTTCCAAGCCCAGCCCCAGCCACCATTATATCTTGCCTGGATTAGTGCAACAGCCTCCTAACTAGTCTTCCGTGAGTCTTCACTAGCCTGAGTGAACCTTTAAAATCCACCAGACCACGTCACTCCTCTGCTCAAAACCCTGCCCCGTCCTCCCACCTCACAATTCAACCCAAGTCTTTACAAAGCCCTGTGCTATCAGCCTTAACACAATCACCCACACACACCCACACCCACACCCCCCATACACACACCCCTTATGATATTCTGACTTTATCTCTAGGCTGCTGTTCCTTATTCACTCGGCTCCCTTCAGTCCTCAAGCAAAGGACCTTTTCTGTCCTCTCAGGACCTTTGCACTTGCTGCCCCCTCCACCTGGAGTTCTCGCCCCTACACACGGCCGCACATCACCCTTCAGCCTCAGCGTACCATCTCAGTGATTACGCCTCCTCAAATGTCAACAGCCTCACACACTTCCTATCCCTTCACCCTGTGTAATTTTTCTCCTTAGCGCTTCTTACAACATATCTTCCTGATTTTGCTATTTATGCCTGTCTCCATGAAGACAGGATTTTGTCTTTTTTCTTCCCTGCTGACCCCCACCTTCCAGTGCCAGAAGAACACTTGTTAATGTTGTTGGATTAACTCTGCTCAGTCGGTTGATCTGCAATGGTGGGAATTGAAACAACAGCCATGTTCTTCCCCAGGAGACATCTGGTCCACTCACAAACAGACCCAAGCCGATCCCAAGCAGTGGGCCCCCAGACATGCCCAAACATGCCTGAGAACTGGGCGACTTAGCTCAATTCAAACCAGAGAGTCCTGCCGGGACATAGGGAAGAGTCGGAACCCTGGGTATGAAAGAGATCCCCGAGTGTTAGAGGAGTTTTTTTTTCCTTCCGGGCCCATTCTTGGTCACGCTGCTTTGAAGACTGAAGAGGTAGACCAGAGGAAGAGTGGTGGGCAGCAAAGCAAAGTTTATTGAGCAATAGTACAAAGCCCCCAAAGAGGGAGGGGACCCAAGAGGGTTGCCACCAGAGTTTCTAAATCTAGGGGTTTTTATGAGCTTGTTAGTGGGCTGTTTTAATCCGATTAACCCCCCCCCTGCACCTGTCACCCATCAGGTTTTTGTCATCTATCACATGGGAAAGGGTAGAGGGCTCCTTCCAGGGTGGTGTAAAATCCTTTCAAGGGTGGTTTCTTAGGGCAGGGGTGGCCCCTTGTCCCTGTCTGCCTTTCTTCCAGCTCTCCTTCATCGGACCCTGAGAAGAGCAGTGGGGTTGAGGAGCGCTGGGAGAACCCAACATTCTCAAGACGCTGTCAAGTGGCAAAAATAAAACAATTGGTAAGGAGCTTGATGTGCTTTGTTCAAGGGAAAACAATCCCCGAATTGGGGAACTCGGTACCTCTCAAGCAGCAGAGCACTCTCCGGAGGGAGTGTGTGTTATACCAGCTTTAGAGGAAGCAACTGGGAGCGTGGCTGGCTGGAAGGTCAGGGCTTTCCTTAGAAGGCCAGCAGGTCCTGTTTTCTAGGGAAAGGTAAGCGAAAGCTGAGTTTGCATGTTACATTTCCTTGACAGTGAAGCGTTTCCTAAAGTTCAGCTGATGTAGACTTGTGATGTGGCGCAGGCCATGGGGGCAGCCTCCATTTCCTGGGATGGACGAATTGCCCGTATCAAGGCCCAGAGGAAAAGGAGCTGGCACAGGAGACTGTGAAGGAGCGACGAGAGAAAGGGTGGTGCCCAGGAAGCCAAGAGAGGACGGAGAATTTCCGAGGAGGGAGGGAGGGGCTGATAGTGAGTCCTGCCCCAGGGAAGCCACCAAGGAGAGGCCCAAAAAAGCCTTGTCAGTGGGCACCTTGACCCAGTTTCCAGGAAATAGTAAGAGCAGGAGCCAGATAGGAAAGGGGGGGAAGTCTGAAGGGAGTGAGGAAGTGGAGAAAGGGAGGGTAGGCAACTTATCCACAAACTGGGCTGCAGAAGGATCTCTATAGGCCAGTAGAGTGAGATAAACCAGGGCTTTTTCAGTTTGGAAGAGAGCCTCATATTTCTATTCAGGGAGGAAGAAGCCAAGGAAGACAAAGAGATTGAAGGTACAAGAAATGGAGGGGCTACTCAAAGGAAGATGAGAACTGTAACTGCCTGTAGCTGGTTCAGCCTCGGATCGGTTAGGAGACCCCTCCTTCCTGGAGATGGGAGCAGAAGGAAAAGCTGGATTGAAGAAGCTTGCAGGTGGTGGTGGGGGAGGAAATGGAGGAGACCATACCTGAGGACCCCTTTTCTAAAAGATAGGAAGCAGAGGGGCACCTGGATGGCTCAATCAGTCAAACGTTCAACTCTTGATTTTGACGCAGGTCATGATCTCAGGGTTGTGAGGTCAAGCCCTGCATTGGGCTCCACACTCAGCTAGAAGTCTGCTTCCAATTCTCTCTCTCCCTCTGCCCCTACCAACCCCCCCCCAAACTCTCAAATAAAATCTTTAAACAATTAAAAGAGAAGAAGCAGGGTCGTTCCTGGGGCGGGGGCGGGGGGAAGGAGGGCTTAAGGCAGTCATTAGGGTTTGAAATCTCTGCAAAGGGAATTGGGAGAAGGAACTGGCAAAGTCCATGGAAGAGGCTTTGAAAGCAGTGTGCGGAGGTAGCTGCCATTGGACATCATGAGTCTGGACCGTGTAGCGTCTGTAGGAGCAGGCTCTGCAGACAGAGGCAGGGGCTGGTTTCGTCAGGGAGGAAGGGAGCTGGGAGGGTGGGCAAGAGAAAGGCCGGCCACCATGTGGCCCTGGGGAGTAAACTGAGGATGCTAAATGCAGAGTCAGGGAACTCAAGATCTTAATGAGGTCCCAGAATAGAACTGGTGGGAGGAAGGAGAGAGCTGGAAGTGTAAGAGGTTGTGGTCAGAGGACACCGCACCCTTCCCCGAGGTGGACAGACAAGCTCCATGCTGTGGCCACGAGGATGGGAGGCTGGAGGGAGGTCGCGACTGTTGGCATGGGAAGGCCACCGAGTGGGTCGGGGGTGCTGAGGACTCCCCAGATGATGCAAGCGCTGAAGTCCTCAGAGCTTGTGAAGAAGAACCAAGCTGTAGGTGGAGGACGCAAGACTGGCAGAGAAGGGCACCGAAGAGACAGAAAGTTGCCACCAAATACCCACCTGCCCCTTCTTCCTCTGCAATAAGGAGTTTGATTTTTTAGCTGGAACCACTGTCACCCAGACTTTTTAAACATTGCCCAGCCTAGCTGGCAGCTTGGGGTGGCCATGTGACTGCTCTCTGGTACTTCTGGAAGCCTCCTTGTCTCCTTCCCTCTATGGCCTAACTGAAGATCCCATGTAATGACTGAAGCTTGAGCGGCATCTTGGGCCATGAGGATGAGGGTCCCAACCTAGCGCTGGCAGAGGAGTGAGCAGAAAGAAGCCTGGGTCCCTGAGGATCTCACAAAGCCAACTCACTTGCCTGGACTGTGTACGTCTGAGACTTCTTTGACTTAAAAAATAAAAATCTTGTGTGGTTGAGACTCTGTTACTTAGGTTTTCTGTCAGTAGAGGAGCTAAGCCTCGATATTACAGACGGTGCAGGAGGATGGCACAGATTTCAAGGGAGGGTGAGCACATATTTGCCTATAAACAGCAAGAAGCTACAAGAACGTCAACAGTGGCTTCTAGGCCTGAGGTAAAATGGAAGTGTAAGAACAAACAGCCTCCACTCACAAGGGCTCTAGGCCATTGTGTTCCTTAGCAGAAGGGAGGAGGAGGAGGGAGTTTCTGCAAAGAGCTAGAAGCCATGGGGGAGGGTGTTGGTACCGGAAGCATTTCTAAAAGTCAAACCTGAAAGTCTTGAGAGGGTGGAGCTCAGCAGCGAGAAGATGCGCTGGGAGCCTGCAGGTCTGAGCATCCTGTGCTGGACCATGGGAGGGGTCTGTATTCAGGTCAGAGGTTAACAATGAGAGTCAAGGGTCTCATATTTCAGTTGAGTTTAGCCAATGTCCTGCTGAACTTGTGAGGTTTGGGGAGGCAACATTTCCCTGCAGCAGCTGCCTCCTAACGGTGGTGGGGTGGGGGGCAGGAAGCCAGCCTGAGTTTGGGAGGGCAGGGCATGGAGGCTGCAGGCAGGGCCAGCCCAGCCTTGGGGGTGCGGTGGGAAGAGGAGCCCCCCCCCTCAGGCCCCAGCAGAGAGGTCGTGAGGGTGGGCCATCATTTTCTCAGGCTCATTTCCCACTTTGTCTTCTTGAGTATTTTAATTGCGTGTTTCCAACTTAATCTCCATATTAACTTCAGAGGACTCTACATCTCTATTTTTGGAGGGCGGACTGATCAACAATTTAAAGTGTAAATCCTGGGCAAGTGTGTGGGTCTTTAAGAACACCATTTAATAGGCAGCAGCCTGCCAGGACTCGAAAGGAAGCCAGTGCAAAACTAGACAGAGGAAGAGCCACTAGGGAATGGTGGCAGGATAGGGATTTGGGACGGTTACTATAAAGGGGCAGTTCTGGGCTCAAAGACTGAAGAGACACTCACCCCTTTCTAAGTGAAATGCAGGGGCTACACATGTATACAGGAGCAGCGTCCCTGGTGAGAACTTTGCAAGAAGCTGGGCAGATGCAGAGTCAGCCAGGTTTACAAGGGCCAACCCAGGGCCAAGTCCAGAAGCTGGTTATAGGAACTTAGCACTGGGTTGGGTGGGTTAACAATCAAGAATTCTTGCTGTTGACACACACTCTTGAGCTGAAGAGTTGCCCGCCCCCCACCCTGCCCCACCCAGGGCGAGACTTGGGCCAAGGGCTTGGAGTGGGGTGGGGCTGGATTTGGCAGTGAGATCATGGTCTCCAGCTGTGGGGAGGGCAGGCTACCAAAGGTCAAGGATCAGCCAGGGCCTGACAAATCCTGCAGAGGCCTGCAGCCAGGGCCACTGTCCTGAAACTTCTGTTCTTCTTCCCTGTATTAACCCCAAGGGAAGGAATTTAGCCATGCTGTCAGAAACAGCTACTCGAGTCATGGGTGTGCCGCCAGCCAAGAGTGAACAGCCTTGATCTTGTAGACCTTGGATTCTGGAGATAGGTTCTCGTTAGAATCAACTGGTGTGCTATAACCAAAACCAAAAAAAGCCTGATGCTCAGACCACACCCCAAATCAATAAAATTAGAATCTCCAGGGGCAGGAACCAGACACCAGTAGATTATAAAGCTGTCCAGATGTTTGCCATGTACAACCAAAGTTAGAACCTGAGGTTGAACTGTGGCCAGCCACTTAGCAGCTTGAGTGACTCTGGGCAATTTCCGGAAACCGGGCTTCAGTTTTCTCCTGTGTGAAATGCAGGTCCTGCTAGCACTACCTTATAGGGTTCAATGCCTGGCCTGTAGTAACTCTTCACTGAGTGCTGGTTGGTGGTAGTAATAGTCAGGATTCAGCTTGTCAACCCAAACCTGAAAAGTCATGGTTAGCCTCTTGGGCTGTTTTGGGATTTGTCAAATCTCACCCTCTTAAATAGTGGCATGGTTTATGGGGGTGGGCATGGATCAGGTTCAGCAGTGCTGATGGATGACATAGGCTGGTATCTCTAAACAGGATAGGATGGGAGAGAAAACCAAGCCTCACATAGGCTGGTCATTATGTCTTAAAATGAGAAACTACCTTTCCAGGAAATTATCTACTTCTCACTATTTAATTCTTTGTTGGGGTGTGAGAGGGTAGCAGTTTTATTGAGGTATAATTCACCCATTTACAGTGTACAACTCGATGGCTTTTAGTACATTCACAGAGCCGCATATTCTCATTTTTGTTGTTTTGTTCTCATAAACCATTTTCCAGGCCATGTCTGGTGGTTCTTGGTCTGGTCTATTAATCTAGCACTGGTTCATCCCAAACTTCAACACGCCTTGGATGGATGGTCCCTCAAATGGGACTAGTTGAGCATAATATGTTCAAAATACTATTTTCAAGTTCCTGTTAAAAGAAGTCATATAGAAAAACTAAGATACCGGTAGCATGGGCTTCAGCAAGCAAAGCCATCCCCTTGGCAGCCAGCCCCAGGGAGGAGAGTCTAGACTGGGGAGAGTCTTCTCTAGAAAGAGGTGGGTGTGGGGTGCTCTGATCAGTTGGGGGCCAGCAGCACAGGCGGTGAGAGAATTCACCCATGGCAGAACAAAAGAGATAGATGTTTACTGAATCCATGGCCAGGGAGCTGCGGGCAGGACAGCAAAGGAGAGATTGTGGGCCATGATGTGGTGCTGAGGGCCATAGTGGGGGAGTATGGGGATGTATGGAATTTTCCCTATTTTGGTAATCTTAGGATTACCAGTTATAAGTAGCCTGTTGGTTAGTTAGGGCCTATGGTTATTTAGAAGTCAGTTGCTCAGTGAGCCTGTTTGCATTCAGCTCAGTGGTCACTGTGGTCCCTTTTGCCTTGCTCTGGATTCTGTTGCTCAAGCCTGTTACCTAAAAGTGGCCTCTACGATGGGGAGGCAGGGAGCAAGAGCCTGAGCCTCTCCTGGCTCCTATCTCACTGAGGTTGGCTAAGAGGGCCTTTCCCTGTTCCACCATTAGTAGCAGGTCAGGTTCTAGCATTTTCTAGCATAAAGCACACAGGTGTTAGCCCTCCCGGAATTCCCAGGAGGAAACAATTGGTGAAGCTGCACCATCCTGGAAGGTGACAGGTGGAGACTGTTGGGTTTCAGTAGCAAGACCCTCCATTCAGGACTGAGACCCAAATTCTCCCCTAACCATCCACGGGAATATCCCTGCTTCCTTTTGTTTTTAAAATTAGAGATAATATCGCTCTGAGCACAGTCTGTGAGCCCAAATTCAATGATTTTAGCCAATTCCTTTTTCTACCGTCATCTTAGGTAGTTTTCGAAAGGGTGTTTGTGCACAGATTTGTACAAACACATATGCACACTGACTAAGGTTTTCTGCTTTGTAACCTCCAGACAACTCTTCGGTCTCCCCGCCATGAACACTTTCCAGAGTCCTGGCTGGGGGAAGGACAATCACAAAGAAGCGTTTGTAGTCAAGGAGGAGGCTTCTGACTAGTCAGATGACGCCAAAAGTCTCTGCTACAGAAGAAGGTCAAACTTGCTTTCAACCAATGCTTCCCTAACTTCTCCAAAGAAGCCCCTGTTTAAAAATGTGAATTCCAGAACCCATCCCCAATGCCCTGAAGCAAAATTTCCAGGAGAGGTCGGAAAAAATGTAATTTCAACAAGTGCCCTCACTTGATTCTTATCATAGGCAAGCATTCTCTTTCTTCCTATCCATCTATCTATCTATCTTTCTGTCTATCTATTTATTCATTTATTATTTTTTTTAAGTAGGCTCCACGCCTAGCGAGGAGCCCAACTCAGGGCTTGAACTCACGACAGTGAGATCAAGACCTGAGCTGAGATCAAGAGTCAGTTAACCTACTGAGCCACCCAGGCGCCCCTCTTTTTCTTCTTTTAAATGCAGATGCCTCCTCACTAGAGATTACAGTTCAACAGGATGGGTGTGGCAGGGTCAAGTCTAGACTGCTGTTTTTGAACACAGCGGGTCTGACGTGCAGTCTTTTGAGAATCAGTGTTAACTCTCGGGGCATACCTGACCCTATTTTCACCAATTTGATCATTAGCTCCTCAACAGCTAAGTTTCAACCAGGCTTTATAATGATGATTTCAATCAAATTTTCTCTCTTCTAGGTAAGATATAACTTACTTTTCTTCATCACCATTATTTAAAAGCAAACACAAACAAAACTCTGCTCTACTAAACTGCACAATGTACTAGGTGAGGCACTTTACGTACACGCCCTCATTTGTCTCCTCTCAACAGCCCTTGGAGGTTGGTTCTATTGGTAGCCCCACTTTACAGATGTGGAAACTGGGATAGAAGTGAACCCGCTTGCTAAAGACCACCCAGGTAACAAGTAGCAAGGCCTTTCTCACTGAATCCCAGGCTAGCCACTAAGTGCTACACCCCTGCCCAGACTGGCCCACAGCTCAGGGTCGTTCTGAACCAAGGGGCCTCCATATCCAAGGACCAGTTTCCCAAGAAGAGAATGGGACTCGGCCCAAAGGCCCACACACCTGCTTTGTATCAATCCAGCAATGGTGGGCTGCTTTGGAAGTACCTTTAGGTCAATAATTCCCAGCTGATGGTGCATCAGAATAAGCTGGGAAGAGGGTTAAAAATGATCTTTAAGTCCTATCCTTAAAGGTTCGAACTCTTAATGTCTGGGATGCCGCCCAGGAATCTCCATTTTCATGAATATAGCTAGTGATTCTGATGAAAGTAATGCTTCATCAATATGCTGAAAAAAAGGAGGAGGAAGGGGAGAAAGGAAAGAAGGAGGGAGGAGGGAGGGAGGGAGGGAGGAAGAAATGTGCCCTGAGTGAGCAATCAGCCTTTGACAGGGTAAGAAATGCACCCCATGGTGGGTAGGGAAGGCTGCATCCTCAATGATGCCTTGTACCCTTCTCCATACCTAGGTAAATTTCTACTCCTCCTTCAAGACCCAGCTCCCAGGTCACGCCTCCTCTGTGCTGTCTCTCTCCGTGGCTCCAGACCGAGTTAAGGAGGCTTCCTTGGTTATTTCATAGCCCTTAAATGTCGGCACTGGTGCATTTTATTTATCATATTGGCCCAAGGGGTGGTTTTCGCTGCTAAATGCTTGGTGGTGGACTTATTCACCTTGTGGGGGGTAAGCCACCACTCCTAGGCTGCCGTCTGCTGAGCTGCACTGGACAGCCAGGGAGCTGGAGGAGGCCCAGCTGCTGAACAGAGACCAGGTGGGCCTGAGCAGCTGTGCAAACACTAACAAGAGCTGTTAATGCTGCAGGGGCGATACGCCCACCCCCCTATCCCTGCACCCCACACGGGTGAAGACTCCGAGCCCCTTGAGAACAGGCCCCTTCCTGAACCGCCGGTGCCTCACCCAGTGGTAGGTACCAAATCAAGGATGCCAATAGGTCTCGTGGGGCTTGCCGGTTCCAGTCACGGCGTGGCAGCTGGACGGGATGGGGTGGTGTCAGCTCCCGTGGGAAAGAATGCTAAGAGTGACTTTTGCTGTCTGCCTCGGGCATAGGGGTCACTTGCCTGCCCCGTGTTTGAGGCTGTATTACGTTCCTGGGGCTACTACAACAAATGACCACAACCTGGGTGGCTTACAACAACAGAAATTCATTCTCTCACAGTTCTGGAAGCCAGGAGTCTCAAAGTAGTCTCACTGGGTCAAAGTCAAGGTGTCGGTAGGGCCATGCTCCCTCCAAATGCTCTTGGAAGAATCCTTCCTCACCTGCTGCGGCTTGCAGTGGCCCCAGCAGACCTCCACTCTCTGCCTCCTGCTTCCCATGGCCCTCTTCCTGTGTGTTAGATCCCCTCCCCTTTCTTTTATGAGGACACCAGTCCGTGGATTTAGTACCCACCCTGAATCCAGGATGATCTCATCTCAAGCTCAGTAACTTAATTACATCTGCCAAGACCCCTTTTCTTTTTTTTTTTTTTTAAGATTTTATTTATTTATTTGAGAGAGAGAGAGAATGAGAGATAGAAAGCACTAGAGGGAAGAGGGTCAGAGGGAGAAGCAGACTCCCCGCTGAGCAGGAAGCCCGATGTGGGACTCGATCCCGGGACTCCAGGATCATGACCTGAGCCGAAGGCAGTCGCTTAACCAACTGAGCCACCCAGGCGCCCCATGCCAAGACCCCTTTTCCAAAGAAGGACACATTCACAGGTACCAGGGGTTAGGACTTGGACATATTTATGGGGGCCGGGGGACACAACTCAACCCATGACACCAGCCTTGTACTAAATAAATGTCAGTGATTAAATACCTCCTCCCCCTTTGTTCCCCACCTCCCACCCCCTTGTGCAAACCTTTTCACACCTAGTGCTAGGGAACATCTCCTCCCACCAGAGGCAGGCCTGCCCTGGTGTCAGTTTGGGCTCGTTGCAGGCCTCCCCTCCAGCAGCCAGGATGGCAGGGGTGTGGAGGCCTGGGAGGCAGAAAGCCTTCTTCTCCCTCAAGGATAATAAAATGAGTGCCAAACCTTCTGCGAAGGGTACCAGATCACTGTGCTGAGTCTTCCCCAGGGCATGCTTGATGCAGAACCCAGTACATGAAAGTGAGTCAGGGCCGGGATCAGGTTGCCCTCATCCCACCTACTCATGCAATCCGCTGTGGGCACCACGGTCCACCCCAACCTAAGCACCTCCCACTCCAAGTTTACCCACAGCATGAAAAGTAGTTGTGATAAAGACCAGGCTGCCGAAGACCTGCTCCAAATCCCCCTCTGCTACCTTCTGTGTTGTCTGATCTTGAGCCGCTCATTGCCCTTGCCGGCACCTCTCTGTAAAATCGAACTGCTACCAGTACCCGAAGACTTAAATCCTTGCTCCAGCTAGGCCAGGGAGCAGTACACAAATCCTTCCATGCAGGCTTATGCAGAGGGCTAAAAGAGTAAACGCGAAGTTTCCAGGCCCACAGTGGGCATGCCATAAGCTTTTTTTTTTTTTAATAGAATGTGCACCATTCAGGGTTCACCAGGTTTAAACACACCCCTCTCTTCAACCAGCATCTGTGCACTGGTACCTCCTCTCCCTCTAACTTCCTCCTGTGTATCTGACTGCCTGCCCCTATCTCAAAGCGGCCTCGCTCAAACTCCACATCGTCTACTCCTCACCTGCTCCTCCTCCTGTAATTTCATCTGTGTGAGCAGCCACCCCGTCCAAACATCTACAGGCACCACTCCTCTTCTCCACACCAGTCACCAAATGCTAGAGGTGCTTCTTTCTTGATATCCCCCAGATCTCTCTTGGCCTCTCTATGTCTACCTCATCTGCACACATTGAAAGCCACATTGTGTCTCACCTGAAGTAATGCAACAGCTTCCTTCCTCAGTCTCTTCCTTCCCCAGTTTATGTTGATAAGGCTGGTGTTTCTAAGACACAGATCTAATCACAGGCAGGACTGCACAGAGCCTTTGGGCCTGAGACACACCTGCTCAGAGGGGCTGCAAGGCCCATGTGGACAGCACCAGCTGCTTCCCCAGCCCAACACCCCTGGTTCCCTGAGCCAGAGCCCCGTGGAGCTACTTGCAGTTCCCCAACCACGTCCGCCCCACCTGCTCTCATTTCTCCACGCCTTTGCATAAGCTGTTCCCTTCACTGGGAGCATCCTTTTATTCATTCCTCACATCATCAATCTTCGAGACTCAGCCCCTTCAGAGTCCCCTTCAGCCTTCTCTCTCGGGCTCCCATACCATCTTGTCCTGTGCCTCTTGCAACATTTGCAGATTATATCATAAATACCTATTATTTATCTATCTACTCCACACGCCACACAGCCCTGCACCCTGCCCCAGACTGTGAGCTCCCTGAAACTGGGGACTGTGTCTCTTCTCTGTATTTCCAGCACCTGGCACCATACCTGCCAATAGCGCCTTACTAAGCATTTGTTGAAGTGTCGAATGCCAAGGACAGAACAGCATGATATTAAGAGACGTATCTCGTTGATGATTTTTTTTCATGATTTTTGTTTGTTTGCTTTTGGCATTTCATATTGGAAGGAGGGTATCTACGCATGGAAAAAATTCCTTCGTTTAGTAAATCACACAAAAATCCAGAAATCATGCAAACTCTGAAAGGCAGCGTGGCCATTTTGGGAAAGCAAAACAAAAAACAAAGTTTGAGCTAAAACAATAACATCATTATTAAAATACATGTATTCCAACACGAAAACCAAGACAAAAGCTCAACAAAAAATCCCAAATATGGTCTCTATGTACATAGGGTCTCTAGAAATACATTTAAATTTATGTTTTTCCAGTTCTGTTGAGCTATGATTGACAAATAACTGGTTGATTCTCATACAAAGAAAAATACCATATTATACAATGAACAAGATAGTGGGGAACATCCTTAGTGTTTTATTGAAATATACCTAAGTGTCCGTCATGTGGTCATTTCTTCCAAGGGCTTAACACAAAATTCAACACAGTTAAGATCTTGTGCTAGGCGACTGGGCTAATGTAGTTCTTCACAGAACTTGTATTAAATAGGGATCAGCATCTAATACAATAATTACTGCTGAAAGAAGCACAACCTTGGGCAGCCAAGATTTGTTTTTTAAGTATGTATGTATGTATGTATGTATTTATAAAGATTTTATTTTTATTTATTTTAGAGAGAAAGAGAGAGACTGTAAGAGAGAGAAAAGAGAGCACAAGCAGGGGGCAGGTCAGAGGGAGAAGCAGACCAGCAAGAAGCCCTATGTGGGACTGGAACCCAGGACCCCTGGATCATGACTTGAGCCAAAGGCAGATGCTTAACCGACTGAGCCACCCAGGCACCTCTATTTATTTATTTTAGAGAGAGAGCACGTGTATGAGCTCACATGGGTGGGGGCAGCAGAGGGAGAGAGAGAAAGTCTTAAGCCGACTCCACTAAGCGTGGAGCCACGCCCATCTCACGACCCTGAGATCATGACCTGAGCCAAAATCAAGAGTCAGACCTTAACTGACTGAGCCACTCAGGTGCCCCATTGATAGGATCTAGATCACTATCGGTTCAAGATTAAATTTCCTGAGTCGGGCCAAAAGTGCACACATCCTGTGTGGTTGATCAAAGAAGATTCGTTTTTGGATAGCAGGGGACAGGGGTCACCTTCTATGGGAAGACTGAGCAGCCTGTTAAAGGGATGAAGCCTGCCCCAGCTCCACCCAGCCACAACCTCTCCTACCTAAACCCCCACACTCCAGTTATGCTTGCTACTCACTTGTCCCATATCCATCCTGCACCTTCCCACACTCCTGCCATCTTCTCTGCGGGAATACCACCCCCCCTCTAATTTCTACCCAACATACCCTATCTATATGCCAAGGCCCAGGCCATTGTGATAGAGATTATCCCCCTATTGTCCCTTTCTTCCACATTACACTTTGGGCTGTCTACTTGGCTATAGACTACATTTCCCAGCATCCTTTGTAACTAGATGCGACCAAATGACCACGTTGCAGCCACTTCTGGGTCTGTGCCTCAGAGCATCTGTTGCGTGTTCCTCCAACCTGTCTTTGCCCTTCCCACAAGCTGGAACATTCATGTGGCAATGAACGACCAAGCTTTAATGATATAGTTGAAGACAATACCCAACAGGACAGTGGAACAAAGCAATGGGGTAGAGCAGACCTGAATGAGCTTGTGGAGCTGAGCTGTCCCTCCAGCCTAGACTGCCACCTATATCTGCACTGTTGTAGGAGAGAGAAATAAAATTACATCTTCAGATTGACCTTGCATAAGTGACAGTGTCTTAGAATCTCTGCACCATGACTTGTTTATGTACTGTCTCCTCCATGGAAGCTTCCCTGAGAGCTCTGTCCGATGTCCTGCTGTGACTTTGGAGGCTGTGCCCGTACAACATCCAGGTGCCATTATTGGGACCCCTGTGCATGTTATGTTGTTGCGAGTGGACTGTAAGATTCTTGAGGGCAAAGGCCACACTGATCTCATCTTTGATGTCCCTGAGCAACCACCGCGGTGTCCTGTACACAGAAATCATGTTTGTTGAAGCGACTGAATGTACGGCACTTCCCACACAAATGCTGTTTTTAGAAGAGATGCTAAGTTAGCAGCAGCAGAGTTGATTCACAACACACTTACACAGAAACCAGAAGGAATGTGGCTGACAAATAAGAGGCCTGGTGGGCCAAGCTGGGAATAGCAATTCTCCAAAAATAAATGTCTTGTGATGACAAAGCCTGAAGAAACCTTGCTGAAAAACACAGCTGGTTACTGAAGGCTTGGAGCAGCCCCTGCCTTCCACCCAGTGACCCCCCACATCCCTCACAAGGCCAAGGTGGAGATGGCCACATGCCCTCAGGCACCGGACAATCACTTCTGCAGACTGGGTCACCTCTCCCTGGGCATTTGTCCACAGAGCCAGGCCTGTATATAGAGTTTCTCAGGGCTCCCAAGAGAGGGGCATCACCAGTGTTCTCCCAGGCCATTGAAGTATAGGAAAGGAAGAGTGTTTCCCAGGCCATCAGGAAAACACTCACTCATCAGGGTGTGAGGTCGGGACCAGACTGCTGGGTGTGAATCCCAGCTCAGCTCCTCACCAGCTGTGCAACCTTAGACAAGTAGCTTAACCTCTCTGCACTTCCATTTTCTTGCCTGTGAAGCAGAGATGATGATAGTACCTACTCATAAGGTTGTGGTAGAATTAAGTGACTTTACAATCAGAGAAAGACAATTATCATATGATCTCACTGATATGAGGAATTTGAGAAACAAGACAGAGGATCATAGGGGAAGGGAGGGAAAAATGAAACAAGACGAAACCAGAGAGGGAGACAAACCATAAGAGATTCTTAATCTCAGGAAACAAACTGAGGGTTGCTGGAGGGGAGGGGGGTGGGAGGGATGGGGTGGCTGGGTGATGGACATTGGGGAGGGTATGTGCTATGGTGAGCGCTGTGAATTGTGTAAGACTGATGCATCACAGACCTGTATCCCTGAAACAAATAATACATTATATGTTAATAATAAAAACAAAACAAAAACAAAAAAAGAATTAAGTGACTTTATACATGAAGGCACCTGTGGTAATAAAATACCCATTTTCCAGATTAAAAATACTGAGGCTCCAAGGGATTATGTGACTTGCCAGAGGTCGCCAGAGGTCTGGTATCCCAGCTCTAAGTCATATGCTAATGCGAAGCTCTGCAGCCTTCACGTAGGTGCTCTTCTGCTGTCCTGGGGGAGCAGCCCCAGGAGGCTAAGAGCTGAGGGGAGGCTGTATTCTCTTCCTCCTATTTGAGTGGCTTCTCAAGAGTCAAGGTGAGGAGCCAGACCTCTCTGGACGTGCCTGCTTGCAGCCTACCCTGCAGCAGGCTCCTGAACTAACCTGGGCCCCAGGGAGCTGAGACTTCTCTGCCGGGCTGGTCCAGGCCAAAGGGTTGGGGATTGGGGGACACCAGGAACATGTCTGGCTGTTTGCTGGCAGAAACAGATGAAGACATGTGAGGGGACCCAGAGTGTCACAGATGACATTGTGAGCAAGTATTTATAAAAGAAAGGATGAATGAGGAAGTATAAATGAGGGGAAAAGAAATGTGCTTGGGCAGAGTCAGAACACAGGTGCTTCCTGTCACGTCCTGGCCCTTCAGCCGAAGTGATGCGGATCGAGCCAGGGTGTGGGTGGCAGCGTGTGTGGGTGTGTGTCACAGAGGCAGATACCAGCAGTGGACAGACAGAGATCCAGGAAGAGTCAAGGAGACATACAGAGACAAAACAAGGGATGGAGAGAGAAAAGAGCAGCCAGGACAGGAGATGGGAAGGGAAGACAGAGAAATGGAGAGAGGAGAGAGACAGCCACAGAAGCTGCCACCGTCTTCACCGTGTCAGATTCCCAAAGTGCCCTGCCCCCTCAAAATAATGAATGGAATACTGACCTCTCCCTCTGAGGGCGTCATCCCCTTTTCAGGAAATGCTGGAATGTTCTGGGTGCTGAGCGCTGACCAGCATCCCCAGCTCCCATCCCTGACTAACTTCCCTAGGTCATTCTCTCCCTGACTTGACAGGACCACTCCCTCTTCCCTGAACTCTGTCTCTTCCATAAAGTTGAAGAAAAGATGCCATGGCCCCCTATCAGCTGACTCAGCGAGTCAGGCAGGTACCGCTCTTTGGGTCAGTGTGCCCAAGGATGGCCTCACATACGTCCCCATCACCCGGGTGGAGTGTCACATGAAAACCGAGGTCCAGAAACCCTCAGGCCCAAGGTCAGGGTTGCCCAGAGTCCCACCAGCAGTAGAAAGGCCGGAGGCCCCTCTGTCCTCCAGGGACATCCATCCCTTCCTTCGGGCCAACCAGGCACAAAAGGGGCCTGCAAACCACACTTTCCGTTGAGCCCTACCTCTGCCCCTGGAGAGAGCTGCTGTGAGCTCCTGTGGCTGGAGGCCCTCTGGACTGGGCTGCAGGCCTCCCAGGCCCCCCAGGGTTTGGCAGCTCCACACTTCACCCCATGAACTTCCTTGCAGGTCCAGCAGGACT